ACGAATAAACGGAGGTATGGGGGAACACATGGAACGGGGCAACAATCAAGTAAGAGGAATGGTAATGATTCCGTGTTACAATCCAAGAATAGTAATGTTTTTGGAGAAGACAGCTGAATGATGATCAATTTTTGAGAGACAAAAAAGAGCTTAAGTGAAGAGGTAGTCAAACCAGATGCTTAAATAATTTTCTGATGGTCGTCATCAAGCACCAGTAGGATGTCTGCCCAGAGTGGAGCGGCCATGCGAGAACCCGACTGTGGAGATCGTGCGAGTCACGTGTTACCCACTGTTTCTGACTCCAGCCTCGACTTCTCCCTCTCTTGGTGCACACGCCCATTTGTGCAGACCATCATGTAATAGCTGATGAAATGAATGCCCAAAGGTGACACACCAGAGCATTTTGGAGGCAGCGAAGAGCAGTGAAAATTACCTCTTCCAACGCAATACAGAGTGGGCTATTTCTGAGGTGGCACCAAAGAAGTAAAAACTGAACCATTTTATTCTGAGAGAAAAGCACAGTAAGATTCAACTTTGTGCCTCTAGAAACGTCTGGGGAAGACGCAGTCACTGGAAAGACACTCCTGACCAAACCGGCTTTCTCTGGCAAATTGCTCGTCTTTCTATCCCTTGGTTTCCTTTTGCGTAAAACACAGATGTTACCTTTACACCTGCCTCAAGGACGTGCTATGAGAAAGAGAATGTCCTCACTGTGGAATAAAAGTGGTTTTGGCTCTTGTGTTGTTTTGTGTTGATTTTAACGTTTTGAGAATAAGAAGCGAAAGAAGAAGCGGGTTTTCTCCCAAAGCTGAAGCAGCCCAGGCGGAGGGCCCCTCACTTTCCTGGGTTTTCCCAAGGTTGCACGTGTCCTTCAGGAGGGGTACAAGGAGGGGCAGCACGGCCCCAGCCTGGGGGTCACCTCACGCCCTGGTGGTGGTCCTGGTATTGCTGTATGGAGAGCACACTGTTAGCATTACCTCCACCAACATTGAATCTTGGCAACAAACAGCCTCTGCGGGACCACTGAGCACCGGGACCCTCTCTTTATCTCCAAGGACTGGAGCTGGGAGGGAGCACTGGAGTCGACAGTGCTTGGCTGAGTGGGAGCAGCTGCAGCAGCCTCTGCTGGGGTGTGGGAGGGAGGAGGGTGGGCGTCAGAGGTCAAAGAGTCTAGCCAGGTCAAGGTTAAAGTCCTCCAAGGCTTGCCCTTGGGCAAGGAGCATCTCTTGAGCAGGAAGTTGTGAAAACGTGTAGAGGAGGCGTCACCAACATGGAGTCAGGACACTGAAAACGACTCTTAGTTTATTCTGATATTTTATTTATGATTAAAAATAAACTGTAAACAGCCACACTAGGGGAAAGACTGAACTGTCTTTCCAATCTCTCTATAGGAAACAATGTTACAAAATCTTTGTCGTACTAAGATGTAATCAAAGAGTATATAAGAAAAAAAGAATTTTAGGGTATGTCAATCAGTTAATTAAAAGATAATATTAATACTGTGGGTTTTTTCTACATTTTTAATGTACGTGGTATTCGTTAGCTCTAAAATTTGTAGCTTATGGTGATTAACAATTCTAAATATTCAATTATGTGTGCTTTTTCTTAAATTGTATGAAGTTCGAGTTGTATAGACTTCAGGTTCAGCAGCCTGGGACCTGCTGGCACCATAGGATTTGGTGTGGTGGGAACAACGAGCTCCAGGAGTCTCAGCCCAGCTCCACTGGCCCCCAGAGAGCACCTGAGGAGCTGGAGCGGCCGCTGGGGAGGAGCAGAGTGAAGACTCAGTGGTTTGCGCCCGGATGCCGGGCCCAGACAGGCAGGGAGGACCAGCCCGCCTCTGCCCGGGGTGTAGGGAGTCCCTCCCAGGCCACACTCAGGGGCTCAGGTCTTCTTCCAGGAGCGATGGGAGCCAGCAGCAAGCTCTGAGCAAGGCGGGGGTCCTTAGATGGGGAGGCAACGTGCCAGCTAGAGAGAAATGGGGGTGGTTCTTCGGGATCATCTGAGAAACACGGCTGCGCGTCTGTGTCCTTGAGGAGCATCACCCCGAGCCTGTGAGGAGCCAGGGCCACTGGCCTCCCCCGCAGCCCTCGCGCAGTCAGTCAACTCCTGGGTCTGAGGCCAAGCGCTGCAAAAACCCTGGGGGAGATGAGTTTCCTGCCTCCTCTCAGCTTCCAATCAATCATTCAGAGGGGAACCAGAGCCTGCCAGGTAAAGAGATACGTGAACTCCAGGCAGGATCACCGCCCCATCCCACAGAGATAACTTTTCCCTTCAGGCCGGGGGCAGGGTGTTTTAAAAACAAATTATTCTCATTCAGTCACTGTTTCCTAGCAACCAAAGAAAGCATCTGTTTCCTGATGTCTGTGGGCACCAGCCCAATGAGCGATGCTCCAGCCGCCTCCAGAAGCAGAGAGAAGACAAAGGCACTGGACTCGGTCTTGGTAGGTGAGAGATCCTGAATGGGGAATCTGTGAAGAGCTGGCGCCGAACAGAACAGCTGAGGGGCCCATGGCAGGGATGCAGGGCACAGAGGGGCCGCAGGGAACATGCAGATAGTCTCGGGGCGTGGTGTTCCTATAGAATATGGTCTGTGACCGCTGCGGACTGGTTTCCACGAAACTGCTATCGCCTGAGATGGCTGACATCTTTCCAGCAGCCCTTTCACGTATATTTCCAGCCAGAGTCTTGTTTTCACTAAAGCTCCATAAACAGAAAAGAGTGACTGGCTGAATTCAGCTCTAAACGGAATAGGGCCTCTGCAGTGGCCCTCTCAGCCGGGCACAGCTCCTCAGTGCGCGAGTCCCTGAACTCTGCAGCCGGGAGGGGCTCTGATCGTTCAGTGCTTGCTGCACAGAGGAGGAAACAGCAACACAGAGAGGCACACTCAGTTGTCCAAGATGGCACAGCTAGTTGGCAGCCTCACAGGGTCTCTGACCTCCAGCCAAGTGGATTGGGGTGGGAGACGCCCATATTTTAGAGTTAAGCCTTTGCACGTCATGCTGCATTGAATGGCAGGGGAGGGAGGGTGGCTCTGAGAGGAAGCATCGTGGCAACCAAGAGACGAAACTTTATCACTCCTAAGTCTGAAATTCAAAGAATCACAAAACAAGAATGGGTTAAAACAAACGCTAATTCTTTTGCTTTTTAAAAAGGCAGGAAGCTAAGAGAGCCCCTTACTCCCCAGTCAAGGAATTGAAGAAGGACAAATGTTTTTCCAACTTACTGAATTAGCAGAATGATAGCACATATCAACCTTTATGGAGCTGTAGAAAGTCAGGGCAGAAAGTGTTGTGGTGAAGTTAACCAGCTCGTCACGTCTCAGACGACACCTGAGGCTGGGGCCATGAAGGGCCAAGAGACTTGGCGACAGCCACTCCAGTCAGCGATGGAGTGGACACTGCACCCGGCATCCGGCCTCCTGGGGTCCGGAGCTTTGCCTTCTCTGGGCCACAAAGCCACCCCTCTGGCTTGCAGCGTCCTCTCCCACTGCTGTCTTGCAGAGAGCAGTATCACTGTCTTTGCAGTCAGTCCTGTGGGACGGACGCTCCTGCTCTCTCCCCCTCACCTTTCCCAGCTCCCCTCCAAGGCTAAAGCAGAGGGAGCAGCAGCAAGAATGGTCCAAAATAATTAAACTGGTCTGGTGAAGAATTCCTTTTAAGTCGGTGGCATCCTGTTGCCTCTGCTTGTTGTTGGAGAGCTGAACCAAATGAAGTTTAACGTTTATACGGTACAATTAAAAAAAGTTTGTAAAGTTTTTTTCCCAAGCATTTTTAGAGTAGTGATTCAAAAACATATGCATAATTTCAAAAGTACAGAAGGTAACATAATGAACATCCATGGAACTATCACCTCAGAGTCAACAATATTAATGTCTTTCTTGTATGTGTGTATTGGTCACGGTTCTCCAGAGAAACAGAGCCGACAGGATGTGTGTACACGTAGAGAGATTTAGTTTCAGGAACTGCCTCCTATGACTGTGGTGGCTTGGCCAGTCCAAAACCCGAGGAGGTGGGCTGGACTCAGGGAAGAGCTGCAGTAGGGGTCCAAAGGCCGTCTGCTGGCAGATCCCTTCTTGCTCAGGAGAGGTCAGTCTTTGTTCTTTTAAGCCCTTCAACTAACTGGATGAGGCCCACCCAAATAACGGCTGGTAATCTGCTTTGCTCAAAATCCACTGATTCAAATGTGACTCTCATCCAAAAAGCACCTTCACAGAAACATCCAGAATAATGTTTGACCAAATATCTGGGCACATTGGTCCAGCCAAGTCAACACATAAAATTAGCCATCATAATTTGCTTTAAATCTTTTTTAAGAAATAAAAACATCTCAGATATAGTTGATATCCCATTCATACCTCTCCCTGGGCACCTCATTCATAGTGATGATTTTTTTCATAAACTCCTTTTTGAGACTTCAGACTCCTTTTGACCCCATCACCTGAATTCCAATTTCTGGCTCCATGTGGGGGTGGGAATGGAAGACATGGCCTCACATTGGCTGTCAGCACGGGTTTTTTCGAGGGCCTCCTGGCCTTAGGAAGCTGTATGTGTGTTCTGTGGAGAGCTCCATCCCGGGCCATTGCCCCAGGCTGGATTCACTGGGAGTCGGTGTGTTGAAAGTGCACAGAACTCAAACATAGTCAGATCACAAACCATCCAAGTTTGGATGGTTCTGCCCACATAGTCTCACCCACTGTTACTTGAGCCATGCCTGCTTCACTTGCTAGTTTCTCACAAGGATAAGGAAGTGGTGAATGTGGAAACACTTGCAGGGAGTAAGAGGCATCGGATCTGCTCAAGTCCTGTGCCCTGGCCTCCAGACAGCTCTCTGACCTGGAAGCTGCTGGGGAAGAGGCTTGAGCCCCACACGCTCTCGGATCCCTTCCAGGGCCAGGACTCCATGACTGGTATTTGGGATGATAGCATCCCTGACTCAGTTCTCTCTGATTCGCTGCTGTAGCTTCTGGCTCAGAGAGGCTGGGTCTCACGGAAGGAAATCAGGGGCAGTGTAAGCCACAGACACCTGCTAGCCGGGTAAACCTTTCGTCATGGAAAGAAGGCTCCTGAAGAAGGAGATGAAAAAGCTCCTGTAAGTATGACTGAGAACGACTGTTGCTTGTTACACGCGACATTTGGTGGGTTTCTTGTCATAGCTGGTGTGGATATCGGCAGGGGTAAAAATCCAAGGGAGAATCTACTGCACTGGCTGAAAAAGCCAGATGATGTCGCCTGTCTGCGGCCCGCGGCCCCCACCTGGTGCCCAGGGGCGCTGAATCTCCTGGGAGGATGCTTCTGCCAGCAGCTCCGGGTCTGAATGCCCCGCTCTAGAGCCTCAGAGCGGACCAACCCTCCCCCCACCCCTGTCAGCCTGTGCTGGGTGGGGTGGATCCATGAGGGCCCTGCTGGTGAAGACCCAGGGCCGATTCCTGGAACAAGTGCCCAGGGCCCAGCATTCAAGTGGCAGCCTCAGCCTCTTTTATCGTCAGTTTTATCAACTAAGCAATTCACCTCCTTTTTCTTGCCATCTGGACTTTTTTTTTTAAACCAACAAAGAAACCATTAAGTTTCCCCATGGAAAAATTTTTCTCCTGCAGTAGCTTTTCTTTAACTTGATACTTTGTTAAGAGACTGGTGACAATCATAGACCATAGTAAAAGGGAAAAATGGTCACGTTCTATTTCACATGTATTATGGGCTCAACACCCATAACACCATTTTCAGCCAAGGCCTTACCACGGTCTCCATCCAAAGCCCTCTGTGTGCCTACTGAGATAATCATCTTCTAACTAGTCCTAAAGAAATGCTAGAATAAACTATGTATGAATGCACATGTTCACACATGTGTGTTTGGAGGCCAACACAATAAAGAAGACTTCATAATCAGGAATGCCAATTCCTCCACACACAACTGGAATTTCAAGACTGATTCAAAAGTGCTTTTATATCCAAAGGATAAGTTTAGGCTACTTCAAATAAGGTAACTTGGAATTACAAAGTAAAAATTCGAGAATTTTTTTCATCAATTTAAGCTTAATAATTCAGAAGAAGAGATTTCAGGAGCCAGAAACAAACTTATCCCCCCAGAGTGACATGCTCAAAGCATGTGGTAGAGACCTTGACAGCAGAACTGGCCTGACGTAAACTGTGCGATTTTGGAGACCGACCTCAGAGACCCCAGAGCGCTTTTTCCTGCATCTAGCCCCTCTTCCTGCCTCTCCCAAGACGGTGCCCTGCCAGTCTCCTCCCAGGGCCCGTATTCTGTCCTCCCTTGTTCAGTGTCACTGTCAGGAAGGGATCTGAAGAGGATGCACTCAAGTGGAGTCACTGAGATGTTTTCATGCGCAGCTCCTCCTAAGGGTATCTGCATTCTAATGGGGGCAGCCCTGGCAAAAGAATCCATGTGTACAGAATGTCACGTGTCTGGAATCCATCAACTCTGGACGTTGGGCCTGAGTCTAACACGGCAGCAGGGGACCCTTACTGTAAACAGTGGGTCTCAATGCTTTCCGTTTTGTAAAACCTTTCCTGCATTTGGGGATTTATCATACTCCCTGCTTTCCTATAAATTCTGTTCTATGTGACTTTAATTTTCAGATAAACGAGATTTATTAATCACAGTTAGACATTTTACACCTGCAGCGTTGCAGAATTGCGTTTAAATCAAAATGCAGTATTAACTCAGCTGCCAGAGCCATCCAAGCAGGACTTGTCTAGCGTTTCGGGGGGCGGGGGCGGCTGGGAAGGATGCTCCTGTGTTCTGAGCTCCTGCATCGTTCCCAATGGAATGGTTCAATCCTGCTCTCTTGCTTTCAAGGGGAGATTATGTTGGCATCAGACTTCGGGAAAATGAATTTGACCCAAAAGGAAGAAGGCAGCCCACCTTGCTAGATGACATGGTAAAGGAAGGCTTGTGAGTCACACTGTGTTACGTGTGTGTCGAGGGGACGGAACGAGGATGCGTGTGTCTCGTGAACAAGGCCAATCTTCACACCTCAGACATCCCCTTACTCATCTTCTCATCCCACGACTGTCCATGTGGTCTTTTCAACTCATTAAACTGAGGGCAAAAGAATGAGAAAAGGAAAGTCATGAGACTTCTATTTGCTATTAGAAACGATTAAAATGCAAGATGAGTGCCAGGTTAAATGTTACATACAGGATGTTAAAATGTTTCTGACAATATTAGCTATCATGTAGTTCTCAAATATATGTATATTTTTCTATTTGCATTAAGGGAGAAAATCAAAGAATTGAATAATCCTAAAATTCTTTGTGTTATTATTCATGTTGAAAGACAGATTCATGTTACATAATGAAAGTTCACTTCACATAAATTAAGGAGGAAGTTGTGTAAAGATCTAATCCAGAAGAAATTAGTAAACCTCGGCTTTTTTATGCTCACCCAGTTTCTATTCTTGCACATTTAATAAGGAAGAAAGGTACCCCCCCGCCCCACCCTGTCTGACTTCCTCGCAGCTGAAGAGGCAGAGAAACCTTGTGCTCTCAGTACTTCTCTGCACACATTAAGTGGAGAGTTCCATCCATCAGATAAGTGCTTCCCAGACTTTAATGAGGTCTCATCACAAGGCCCTTCTGATTGGGGGTCTGTGGTGGGGCTGGGAACTGCCATTTCCAACAGCACACGGGTGAGGCCCGCGGGGCTGGTCCAGGCGTCAAACTCTGGATGAGGTTTCACAGCTGATCACAGTCCATTTTCTTTCTTCCTTCCTTTTTTTTGGGGTTCTCTTTTCAGTTTGATTCTGTCCCTGGAAGAAATAATTACATTGTTTAGAGACTGTCTGAATTAGATAGAACCTTAGAAGCCTCTGAAAACACGAAAACAAAACCAACCTTCCCTTTCTGGGGTTGGTGGGGAGGAGGGAAGGGCTGTTTGACAGACAGATGGTGAACATGATGAGAAATGACCAGGAGAAGGGACTGGGGGGTGGGGGAGGGGGGTGGACAATGGGCTCGGTCCTCACTCCTTCCCCGCGTCTGAGACGCAGCAGGTCTCTGAGTCAGGCCCGCCTCCCGCCCTCTGCTCACGCTGGCCCCACCTGGACGCCCCCTCCACCTGCAGACCTCCTCCTCCTCAGGCCCAGCTCCACTGGGGCCTCTCCTCTGAAGCCCCCTGGGACCCCCCATTCCCCAGGTGGATGACCACTTCCCCGTGCCCCAGGGACGAATTTCTGACGTTCTGGTGGCAGAATTAGAAATTGTTCTCTGTGTCCCTCTTCCTCTACCTTCATCTTTTCCTATTTTAAAATTTAAGGAATCTGAGGCTCAGAGAACATCAGTTGCTCACCCAAGGACACACCACGAGTCGTTGGCTAAACCTAGATTTGAACCCAGATTCCCTGATCCAGTTTAGCATCCTTTCCAGGAACGTATCCTTTCTTTTCCTGTCCACACAAGTCAAAGAATCTGCTCTAGGGGGAGGTAAATTCAGCCCCTGAAGATCCCTAATTATTTCCGTCTGAGTGTCAGGTTACCGGACAGAGCTGCTGATCCTCACCACGTGGACAAGACAAAACTGTAGAACGGGCTTAGCAGCAACATGGTCCCTGGGTCCAGGGGGCCCTGGGCCAGCATGTAGGCTGATGTGCAGTGTCCCCCTGTGCTCCCTGTTCCAGGCTCACTATGACCTGGCCGTCAGTGCTACGCTGCAATGGCTGGATCACTCAGAAGACCTAACTTGGTTGGAGCGGGAGGAAGTGTAAGTTGAAATCGTTTTCTGTTTTTTTTTAATGTGTGACTATCAGTGATGACAGAGGACGTCCTATCTAGCGTCTTCCACCGTGAGGCACTCTGATTTGAAAACATTGACAGGCAAGTGTCCGTCTCCAACCAGAAATCTGAAGAAACATCTCGGTTGTCAGCCCAGGAAGTCACAGAGGTGTTCACATGTTTTGCATCTCTGCCGACTGGTTTCTGTCAGATGAAGCTCTTTCTTGCGGGCACGTTGTGCCTTAGCGACACGACTGCTCTCTTGTTTACGTGCCGAGGTTTGAAAGGGTCCGTTCTGTGGGTAAAGGCTGCAGTCTTTCCCCAAGGACTGTCGGCTGCGATTTCTAAGCATTTAACTAGACGTCCCTGAGCTGAGCTGTTTGAATCAGAGTCGTGTCCTTCCCCTGATGACTGGCCTTTCTCCCTGTGAGCCGGACAGACCCACTCAGTTGGTAAGAACACGAAACCAGTGAGGCCAGGCCCAAGGAGCTTCTTCCAGAGGCGGCTCATTTCTTCTGCTCCAGGCCTTAGCTCACACATTGGGTCCACGGTGGCTGTATCAGTCAGGGTTTAGTTGTAATCAGTAGCAAATCCAGTCTGAACACATGTAAGAAAAAAAGGGAGGGGGTTTATTGCCTCCGTATCTGAAGAGCGCATGGGCAGGTCTGTGTCAGGCATGGCTTAATCCAAACCCCAGACCATGTCACTGGGACGTACCTCCTGACTCTTTCCTTTGGGTGGACGTTATTCTTAGCTTCAGCCCTCTTCACCATGGCATTCGGTCCAGGGCAGAATCGGGGCTCAGTGGCTCTGCTGGCCCTGACGCGTCTGGGGAGGAGTGGGGATGGGGGCGCGACGAGCTTAGTCCCCAGCGTGTTTTTTCCCCCTGGAATGTCGAAGTGCTGCTGGGGTCCCCGGGAGCACACAAGCTCACAATGGGAAACACAGTCCCCCAAGCAAACAGCCACAGAAGGGTAAGGACATGCACAGAACCGTAATTGTCCACCGTGGGGCCCGTCTGCCAGTGTCCGATCGCTGTGAGAACATGGACAGGTGAGGGCAAATATATTGCCATGCTGGAAGATTCAAATTCAGAGTGTGAGCTGCGCTGAGGGCAGACTGGTCACATCCATCTTTCGAATTAATACACGGCACGCGGCCACCGGATTATTGTCACAACCGTAGCAGGCGTCTAAAGAACAAGCATAACCCCTATTCTTATTTACTCATCCTCCCCCTTAGGAAAATGCCATTTCGTGGCAGACCCATATATACAAACCGCAGGGAACGAGAAGCAATGATTTTATCGTCTTACGCTGGACTCTTAATGGTAAGGAAAGAACACTGTGTGCATATACGGAGAGTCTATATCTACTGTGTGCATTTTGATATTAATGTGTATTTATTTTATTTTTCAACCAAATGTTTCTGTTTAGGATTTACTAATATTAAGTGTTTCATTTTTATAAGATATAATAAAAAGACATATATTGTATTTAAGGGGCCAAAAAAATCCAGAATGAAACACATAAATAATTAGTATTTGGATACTCTGATTTATCCATTTATTTAGAATTTATTTATTTAGTGCCCAGGCACCATCCTAGATGTGCTGGACAGTTTTGTTCTGTAGTAAAAGAGAAGCCACGATCTGACAAGACATTTTTTGCTGTTTAACAGAACAGAATCCCAATTGAGGAAGTCTTTACAATTTATAGGGCTGGTTCTTCTGCCAATTCTGGTGCCACCAAGGTAAGGGCGACCTAAGACTATCAATGTAAGGGATTTTTAGAGAGACTTTCTCTCTTTTATAAATTTATAATGTACTTTCAGGCATGAAATAACAGTTTTATATCAAACGTACAAAACCAGGTGTAGCCACGTCTCCCTTGGATGACAATGTCTGTAAAGTGCTTTCCTTGCGTCGAGGACGGTATCAGCAGGACGACTGTGTCCAGTGACAGGCCAGGCAGAGGCAGCAGGAGGGCACCAGCCTGGAGACCCGCTTCGGCCTGTCTCCGATTAAGTTTCTCGCTCACTCTTGTGACGTGGTCCTCCTTGTCTGAGGTACCGTAACTTCCAGGCATGAGGACCAGGGTTACGAGGCTCGTCCTCCTGATAATTACTTGGTTAGCTGCGTCACATCTCCCCTCCCCTGAGACGACCATGAGGCTCCCACAGCGGGAGCGGCAACGATCGGGCCTGAGACCTGGGTCTGAGTTCTGACCCACGACCGTGGGACCCTGGGCCCCCTCCTTTGGGCTTCCACAGACTGATCTAAAAGCCACGGAGTGTTCTGGATGGTCTTTACAGCCAGCTCAGGTTTGCTCTCTATGCGTGTACGAGCTCGCAGTAAACCTTCAATCTGGCTGCTGTTTCGAGGTGGTGCCTTTACCTTGAGCCACCTCTAGAGAGGGGGAGGGAGGGCAGGGGGAGGGCAGGGGCGGCAGGGAGGGACAGGGGGAGCCCATCCCTCGCCCCAGGCCTTCTGCTCACTGCTGCTCTCAGTGACCCACTTGGATCTGGAAGAGAGGCAGGGCAGGGGGGCGACGGCCACAGGGACACCTGCCTCTGTGGTTCCTCCACCTGCAGACGCAAACAGTGGGTCACAGAGAGGCAAGAGCTTACCAGACCCGGCCCAGGAGTCAAGTATTTACCACATGTTGTAACTTTGGAACCAACCATCCTTTCATCTGAACCCACATGTGACCTGGTCATGGTCCCGAGACTCAGTCTCCCTCCGTCACTCTGGCTTCAGCTCTGTTCATTCATTCATTTGTTCATTCATTCATTCAGTGTAGTGGGGGTGCAGGGGATATGACGGTGAGCAAGCCAGACAAGATTGCTTTTCTCATGGGTCTTATATTGGGGCAGAATTTCCACCTTGGCTGAGACAGAAGTCCCCCAGGCCTGATACTGTTCAGAGACAAAGCTGCCTTGAGTTTTAAAGAACGCCCAGCTCTTTGAGTCTCTTGGAGAGCTTAGCAAACCATCCCGGTCATTCCTGCTTGTTTTTTCTGCAGGCTGCTCTCTCCTCCCGTTTCCCCAACGCCCCCAACATATTTATTTACCTGAGCCCAAGCCCCTCTCTTCAGTAACTGTGTTCTCCTCACCTTCTGGAGCCTGGGCGAGTCTAGGGGCCAGCTGGTGTCCACTCATGTGGCCAAAGGGCAAATCCGGAGAACCATGTCCTAGAGGACGGCGCTGTGAGGCCCTGCAGGCCCACCCGGGGCAACAGTCACTACGGTGTGCAAGACGGTGTCTGGTGTCTGTGCAGCTTGGCTGAGCCAGGTCCACTCACAGGGACCAGAACGGGAAGCCACGCGGAGCAGAGGAGCCAGCCGTCTCGTCTCTACCTTCCATCCGGTCATTTGCTTCTTCATGAAAGAGCATTTGCCACACTTTCTCCGTTCGGTCACACACAGTCCCGTCATCACAGGCAGTGACCACGAATAGAAGGCCCACATGTGGCCAGCTCTGAGGGGAGTGGATCACATCTGTGTGGAGGGGACTTTCCTTCGGAGGCTGTGCTTGTCTATTGGTACAGGATACGTGTGCCGGCACATTTATTGTTTCCGGCAGGAAAGACGGCATGAGGATTCGAAAGCCAGGCTGCCGGGGTTTGGCTCCCAGCTCCACCAGCCACAAGAAGAGTGATCCTGAGCAAGTCTTCTGTGGTCAGCCTTGATTTCTTTGTAAAAACAGGGTCAAGAAGATGGGGTTGACATGGGAAATGGAGTAAGTCGGTCTCAGTTAAGCCCTCAGTGCTTGGCACACAGTAACCTCAAAACGACACTGTAGTTGCTGTAGCTGAGTTTCTGGCCCTTGGGGTCTGGGTTTGGCATCTGACCTCCTCCGTGTTCCTGTAAGTCAGGCTTCTCCACATTTCAGACCAGTTAATCCTTCGTGGTGTGTGGAGGTGGGGTCGGGCCGTCCTGTGCACTGTGGGACGTTCAGCAGCATCCTGGCCTCAGCCCACTAATGTCAGTAGCTTCCTCCTAATTGTGACAACCAAAAATGTCTCTCGACTTTACCAGATGTCCCCTAAGAGGCAAGTCACAGCTGGTCGAGAGCCACTGCTCTAAACATTCAAAAATTAAATTGCTCATCAAGCATGTGTGTGTGTTATTAATACAGCGTAAACTCTGCTTTACACAGCCAGTGACCACAAAGGGTGTGATGTGACCTGAGCTACAGATATAAGAACCTCTGCTCCCGTGAGCCTCACAGGCCCCCCTGCCTGACGACCGCCAGCCCAGGGCTTCCTCGAGTGGCCACACGTCAGCTCCACACAGCGACCTTCTCCACATTGAGAATAAGGAATGAGCAGGACCCCTCAATGCAAATGTAGCATTTCAAAAATTAAATTGTAAGAGCTACTTTACAACAGTCTTTTGGGATTTAACATAATTTTAAAAAATAGCTTTAACTAGAAGGAAATGAGATTGTTCCAGAAAATAGTTAATAGCAAAGGTGCTTCTTTAATTGCTGCACGTATCTGAATGACCTTTGACTCCTGCAGATGCAATGTCTCCTAGGCAACGGCTGAACTTGCCCTGCGGAAGCCTGTTGCCCTGTTGAATTCTAACCAGATCATGGAGAATTTCCCAACCCTGGAGCGAAGCTCGTGGCTGTCTTCGGGACTGTTTGCTGCCACCTGGTGACAGAAAGCATCCCAGGCCCAGGATGGTGCACCAGTCTCAGCCTCAGCCTCTACTCCCCATAGCGAGCTGGGCTTTGCTGATAGGAGCCGTTTCTCTGCCGAGGACCTAGGACTCAGAAAAAACTCAACTAAGGGCCTCAAACAAGTGAGGGTTACTTAGAATTAGCTTCAGATAAATATTAAATGTCCTGCTGAATTTTAAGCTGAAGAAAAAGGAGCGTAAATCTTCCTTCAACAAATAAAGCAAGTGATAAAAATATTCTTTTGCTCCATCTGATGGAGAAAGAGGGAAAAAGGAAAGGGAGGCAGGAAGGGGAAACGTTTGTGCAGAGAGAGGAGAAAGCCCAGCGGAGGTGGTGGAGGACTTCGGAACATCCGCTCCCCTTCTCTCTTCTGATGCCACACCCTGGTGTCCCCTCCGCCAGCACAGGACTCTCCACACTCACCTCCACTGTCCCACACATGCTCTTCAGAGGCAAACAGACAGGTGTCCAGTCCCAGTGCTGTCACTTGCCAGCTGTGTGGCCTTGGGTAAGTTATTTAACTTCTCTGATTCCCCATTTTCCTGCACATGAACAGGCATGATCACACTTGCCCGATCACACCAGGTGTCCCGAGCACTAACCGAGACCATGCATGTCAGCGGCAGGATGCTGGCACATGGGGAGCTTCGAAATTAGCATTATTATTTCCAAACCCTCCCCCTCAGGGTGGCCAACCTCCTTCCTCCTGTCTGCGGGAGCCCACTGATAGCAGCCTGACCTCTCAGCTAGGGCTCTCACCTCTGCAGGCCCAGACTCCGGGCACCTACTCCAACACTCCACCACGAACCTTCTCTTGTTAGAGGATGACTCGCCTGAATCGTACAGAAATGAGGAAGTGTTTTCATGATAAAGGGAGGGACATACATTTAAACAAACTTCAGCATTGACAGATCTTCATGATGAGAGATTAAAATACATGCTTTCAGGGGCCGGGGCATGGCCCAGTGGTTAAAGTTCCCTGCCCTCCGCTTTGGAGGCCCAGGTTCGAGGGTGTGGACCTACTCCACTCATCAGCCATGCTGTGGAAGCGTCCCACATAGAAAGTGGAGGAAGACTGGCACAGATGTCAGCTCAGGGCTGATCTTCCTCAAGAGAAAAAAGAGGAGGATTGGCAATGCATGTTAGCTCAGGGTGAATCTTCCTCACACACACAAAAAAACCAGGCTTTCAATCTCAGTTATGCTCAAAGGAATACTTAGAGTATATGTTTAAAGTATAGAGACCAAGCCACAGCAAATCCGCCACGTGCGTGCTGTGGTTCAGCTCTGTGCGTCCTTTCACCGGTTTCCACAATCTTGAATTACGTGTCCATCATTCTTTTTTATTTCTTGATAGTTTTACTGCATATGCATCTCTAATCACTATATTGTTTAGTTTTGCATGTTCTTTGCATTTCATATAAATGAAATAAAAGCAGGATATACAAATGAAGCGAGAGGAATGAAATGAAGCAAATGCGTTATCGCGCGGCCTTCCGTTTTCACTCAGCGTCTCGCCGCAGAAATTCGTCCGCGGGGTCGCACGTCCCCAGGGTGTACTCGGCTATAGGAACACACCCCAATTTGTCTGCACTCTTCTGCAGACTGTGCTTGTCCCTTTGTGTGTCTCGACGACAGTGAGAGTCTCTGCGCGGCGTGTGCTGGGAGCGAAATGCTGCGTCACCTTGCGTTCGCGTCTTCCACTCTCTGGAAGTCCTTTTCCCAAAGGATCGTCCCCTTTACAGCCCTCCCTGCGCTGGGGGTCATCTGGTTGCTACCAACGCTGGGTGTTTCCGGGCTTCTTAGTTGGTCCATCTGTTGCGGGGGGATGGGGGGGGGGGGGATCTTCATTCGCATCCCGATTACCAATGAGCAACTCCTCACGTGGCTCTTCTCTTGTAAAGTGCCTGTTAAAATCTATCCATTTTTCTGTTGGGTCGTTTGTCTTTTTAATTTATACAGAGCCTCAATTTTTAAAAAAACTGTGATAGGATATAATCAGTCAAGTCTTAGATTTTCCAGTACACTTCTCATTTGAAATTTGCCCTTTATCTTCAGAAACTTTAAAATGTTTACAAAATATGATTTTGCAACATTCCAACCATATTTGCAAAACTTCTTGGACAGATACAAACTTTCCAGACCACATGACCACGTGGTCAGCTTTTACTGTGGAAAATATGATTGTCACAGCATATGTTCAATTGCTTTGACATTGATCTTTGATCAGAAATTCCCCACCCTCCATCTCAGCGATATCAAAATGGTGTTTTAATAAGTCCTGCTCTGGGTTGAAGGGCAGATAAAGATTACTGTCTGTGCTCTTCAGCCCTTAACGATGGAGCCCTGTGCACATTCCTACGTGCTGTTCCACATTCCCCTCTCCTCCTCCTCACCCTTCCAGTTACAAGAAAGTTTTGTTGAATGTGCTTTGGACATAATTTGGCACTCAATAAGTACTTGAATTGAGAAATAACAATCATAGTAATACTTTTACATTGACACAATAAAGATAAAGATTTAAAGTAGTTTTAAAGTAAAAAAAAAGAGCGTATGATTAACTCTAGGTTTAGGATTTAAATTTCATCCAACTTTTTAAATAATTTTTTCACATAAGCCACACAGGAAGCTATATTAACTGCTTGCATGAGTCATCAGATTATCAGGACTCATAGCATATTTGAGCTGGCAGTCACTTTAAAATCATCGAGTTCCGAGTTCCGTCTTCCCCAGCAGATGGGGAAACTAGTATGAAAAACATCCGTCTGGGATCTTCTAAGGCAGGCATATGAGCTGTTCTCCTCCCCTTGTCCCTGGATGCATCATCCTGGAGGGCTGCTGTCACGGCCATCATTGCCCCACCCTGACACGAAGCCTTCTTCAGTTACCGTCTGTGTTTCAGGGTCCTGTTTCTGAGTAGATTATGTGCTTCTTGAGGTTAGAGACCATCGCTTCCGCTTGTGTTTAATTCTTTACAACACTGGATATGAAGTAAACTCGCAATAAATATTTCTGCCATTTGAATAAAAGGCTGAGGTCAAATTTGGAATAGCCCCATAAGCTATTCTGTCAATAAAGAGAACACACCTCATTTATTATTTAATCCATCTTTTCTGTATGATAGAGCAGAAAACCCATAGGAATCTTGAAAAACAGATTTACTTCTCATATAAAAGGAGTCTGGAGTGGGCAGACCAGGGCTGGTACATGGTTCCACAGTTGTCAGGAACACAGGCATCTCCCAGGTGTCTGCTCAGTCCTTCCTGTTGCAAATTGCAAAGTAATATACAAATACAGTCCTTTTCTTTAAAAAAAGAAAAGAAAAAAAAAGACAGGAAAAAACCTATATATAAACCACACGATTCTCCTAGAGCTCAAATTCAGATTGTGGAAATACAGATTTTTACCTACTTTGAAAGGATACCAGTTATGTGGGAACTTGATCATTAAGAGATTCAGGTAATAAAGATAGAGAGAAGGAATTTTCTGCTGAGCTGGAAATGTAACAGTGGGTATGCATTCTGTCGTCCTTGTCTTGGTGTCGCCTCAGTTAAACATCATACAAGGTGCCCTATTGATGAAATGGGGCGTTTGCTGAAAGAAACACGTGAAGAGAGTTGTATAAGCTTCTTTTGCTCCTTAAAAATACGAGTTCTGTAAATATAAAGCCTGAAGCTGTATCAGTAAGAGAGTAGGAAGGTGCTGATCTTGCAGAGGGTGTTAGCGGTCTCTGGCCTCCTGCTCTGATTGATTCTTTGTCAGCAGTCCACTCAGCCTTTCTCTGGAAGGCGAGGCGGAGGAAACGGCGGCCAGGATCCGCCGTGGGTAACTGTGCGCAGCAGGAGCTGAGTCAGGGAGAGAAATGATGAAGATGGCGATAGAGATAAATAACAATTACTATTATCATCATTATTTTTAAAGTTAACGTGCTGTACTCTGGGCCAAGAACCGTTCTGAGCGCTTTACAAGTGCTGACTCTCTGATCCCTCCACGCGCGGGGGGCGGTCACCGCTATGTTCGTCTCACGAGGAAAGGGGCCGGGGGACGCCAGGTGACAGGCCCGAGGTCACGACTTGTGGATGGTGCAGCCTGCATTCAGGTACAGCCTGGCTGACGTCCGTGCTGTTAGCCACCATTGCAGTTACTCAAGTAGTCCATGACGCCTGAGGGCCTACTATGTGCTGGGCCCTCTCTGGGGCTCTGGAGATGACAGGCTGAATTGGCCGCCTGGCCCCGGCTGCCGCACCCCAGTCCACTCTCGCCACGCGGCCGGGCTGAGCTGCTTTCAACCTAAATCAGACCGTGTCAGCCGCTGCTTGGAAGCCTTCCAAAGGCGCCCCGCACCCTGGAGTGGGCGTCGGTCAAGCGCGGCGCGCTCCGCCCAGGACCACCGGGCGCGCAGGTGTCTGTCGGCGCCTCCGCCCGCCCTGCCCGCCCTCGTGCGCCTCCCGTCCCCGCCCCGCCCGGCCGCGCGGCCCCTTCCTCTCCTGGGAGGGCCTCCGGCTCCCTCGGCCGGACAGGCCTCTCCAGCTCCGCCACGCTCGCCCCCCTGCCAGCCTCGGCGGGAGCGCTGCAAAGAGCAGAGCCCTCCTCGGGCTGCCTCCACGCCGCGGCTGCCCAGCGGCTGCCCCGCGCAGCGCCGAGCTTAGCTTATTAAACCTGGCACAGCCAGGCTCACGCTGCTGCTCTAACAGTCTGTAGTTCGTGTCTCCTCACTCAGCCCCACAAAGGCAGGAACCCTTCCTGCTCACTAAACCCGGCCCCCGGAACAGGGCCTGGCCCATGGGAGGTGCTCACTGAAACCTGTGGAGTGACTGAGTGAGCGCAGGCGCAGGTCCGGCCTCGCGGTGCCGCGGACAGCGGGTTATTACCAACTGTGACACGCGGGGGTGTCCACGTGACAGCATCCTTTCAGTCCCAGACGAGCCAGTCAGCAGTTCCGCCTCGGGCGCGGTGGGTGCCGGCATGGGAGAGGGGAGGGGGGACATGGAGCAAGTTTCTCCGCAAAGGTGACTTTTGAGCTCCCTCTAAAGGAAGAGCGGGGCCTGTAGGAGGAGGGGAGGAAAGGGTGCTGCCGGCACGGGGAAGCGCGAAGATCATGGGCGCGTGGCGGGGCATCCCCGGCGCAGCGGCCGCGCCTTGGCCGGGTGAGCGATGGCGCGATGTCCAGGGGCCGCGCGGGGGCCGGCCCCGTGCCGACCAAGCGCGTCCCCGGCAGGCGCGGGCGGCCCCACCGGCAGGTCTGCTTCCCTTGCAGGGTCCGGGAGCGCCGCCGGTGCCCCGCTCCTTGCACCCCTTCGCCATGCTGACGGCGCCCCAGGCCGCGGAACACGCCCGCAAGCAGGGTGAGCGCTCGCCTCCGCGCGGAGAGGTCCCAGCGGACCCGGGAGGGCGCCCGCAGAGCAGGGTCACGGGGTCTCTGAGCTGAAAAGAGTGAGGCACATTTCTGACTCGATTTCCCTCCGTGTCACTTCTCAGACCCTTTGGTGACGGGAGCAAAGAACTCTAGAAGGGAAGGCCCTCAAACTGTGGGTAGACTCATTAAAAAAGCCTTTTACACAGATAGACAGATGCGGCCACTACCTGTGCCTGCAGGGGTCAAGCCGAGAAGGGGAGCAGCGAGTTCAAACGCCGCCGCCAGCAGCTCTGCCAGGGAAGCAGGCGTCGCGGCGCGGAAACCGTCGAAGAACGCATCTGTGGACACACGGCCAAAGAACAAAGTAGGTCTAAAAACACGAATCGGACCAAAAGGGTACCAGATATTTGGGGAGTTCTTCATATCGTGTGGTTAAAAGTCTGCCCTTTGGAGTTAAACGTTCTGCGTGTGACTCCAAAGCCCACTAGTCACCAGCTGTGTGACTTCAGCTGTGTAACCTCTCTGTGCCTTAGTTTCCTCCTGCGCAAACTGGAAAGAGTGATGGTACCTGCCTCTCAAGGTTGTTGGGATGATTGACTGAGGCTGTGCGTGTTAAGAGGGTATACGGTGCTTGGCACAGAGTAAGCCCTAAATAAACATTAACTATTATTATCTTTTTAGCATTTGAGAAATACTCTCCGCCAGTTAATCAGCTCTGGATTCGAGTAAGTGTGTCGAGGAGAAGATTTGTGTTGCTGTCTGTGTCCAATGTTCCTGTTCTCGGTCGGTTCTCACTAGTGAGAGATGCTTTGATCTCTGCGGCTTCTGCCCTATCTGATTCCTGTTGCAGAATTCAGAGAATGGTCAGACCGGCCGCAAAGAACCGACGGGAGGAGGGCGTTCTGCTTTTCCAGCTCTGGGTTCTCAGTTGTAACGTGCAAAGCGAAAAGTCGAAAAGTCGGAGAGGCCAAGCTGGTCCGAGAGGGGAGAAAATCAGAAAGTGGTGCAGGCAGGGTGTCTGGGATGATGTAGGTTTTGCTGAGTGAGAAATTCTGGGTCAGCAGGAGGGTTGAAAGTTTCAAAGGAAAGAGGGGATTTTGAAAGTTGATGCACCAGCTTATGAACTGGGTTTGCTTCAGGAAAACACAGGTGAGATTGAAATTCTCTTTTTATTTGGTTTGGTTGCTGTGCTGTGTATTTTAAAAATGTGGATCTCTGAGTAGACTGGGCCTTCTTCAGGTTTCTGAGGCAAACTGCTGACTGATGGGAAAGGTGGCCTTAATGTAGCCAATGCTTTAGGAGCGGCCTGAATTCTTTGGTGGCCTCAGGTTTTACTAAGCGTTTCCCCGGTGACAGAACAATCACACTGTTCAGAAATGCTCACATCTCTGAGTTTCTTTCAAAGGCATTTGCTGTAAGGAAATTTGAAGGTATAGCTTTTCTAGAACCATATCTTTGTCACTGAAGAACTTTTTGAAGTAAAATGATGTTCTTTTTAAAACTTGAGTTTGGGGATAACAAGCTTTAGAAAGTAAAACAAGGCAGCAGAAAATCAAAGAACAGTAACAACTCCAGAAATAACACACACACACTGATAATCTAGGCTGTAAAGTGCACGAAAGAACAGGGGTCCTAGACCCCAGAGGCTCAGCCACGCACCTCGGGTACTGAAGATCTGGCTCCCTAGACGACTCATCGGTATGTTACTTTGAAATTGTACTTTCATCCCAGGTGTGTTTTCCTTTGCAACCCTCGCAGCTCATTGGCTTCTGGATGGAAGCAGATCCTGTTTCATTGTTTCCCGCACGTGTGGGAAGTGCTTTGCCGGCAGTAGATATTCAGCACTTACTGTTGGTTAGAGACTTGGCAGTGAGCGAATGCTCCTTGGGTGAGTCCTCTCAACCGCTGTGTCCTGTCTACATGGTCCAGAGGCTCGTTTCTAGGGACCAGCCGTTTCTGCAGGCTAATGGATGCTTGTCAGACCAGGAGAGTCGCAACAGACGCCCATTTCTCAGTAGGGCCAATCCTGAGATGAAACCGTCCATAAGGGCCCCTTCTTGATAATCAAACAGCATAAAACACATTTGAGGGATTTCTTCATGCTTTCTTATTTGTATCCTTCAGGCATCTTTTCCAACTCCTGGATAATGTACTTTTTAAATTAGTTTAAAAATTATAATAGTAATACGTGCTTATGTTAAAAATTTTAAGCAATAGGAAAAACATGAAGTGAAATGTAAGAGCTTTCCTCTTCACCACACTCCTTCCTGCTGCTCAGAAACAACCACCGGCACCGCTTCGTGTGATGCTCAAATACTCGCTACACATGTACGTATCAATATACAGATACACATGCCTGATTGATTTGTTAGAAATATCAAAGAAATAAATGTTTATTAAATGTATGAGAAACATGCTTTCACAGATTATTGTTTGAAAACGTTTTTCATTTTATATATTTGAACTTCTTAGTCTTTCCCTTTATGGCTTATGGATATGATATCATGTCTTTTAGCTGATGAACAATTTTTTTTTTAAAGACTGGCACCTGGGCTAACAGCTGTTGCCAATCTTCCTTTTTTTTCCAAAGATTGGCACCTGGGCTAACAACTGTTGCCAATCTTTTATTTTTCCTGCTTTATCTCCCCCAAACCCCCCCTGTACACAGTTGTATATATCTTAGTTGCACATCCTTCTAGTTGTGGGATGTGGGACGCCGCCTCAACGTGGTCTGATGAGTGGTGCCATGTCCGCGCCCAGGATCGAAACCCTGGGCTGCCGCAGCGGAGCGCACGAACTTAACCACTCGGCCACGGAGCCGGCCCCAATTTTTTTAACCTTGAGATAAAACAATGCCTTATTCAGAATTTTCTATTTATTTCCAGCCACTGAATTTCTTCATAAAGAAAAAGAAATTATTTTTTAAAATACAGGTATTCTTGGAAACAGTTTTAAAGATTTCTTTTATACTGTGTGGGTATTAGCAGCTCATTTTTCAGTCGAAATAGTAGGAGCTATGCGGTACCCTAGGAACGTGTCAGCATGGGGCACGTCACCAGGAGTCGAGCTGGGAATGGACGGGCCACGCCAGGAGCTCCAGGGCAGAGACAACAAGAGTAAGAGGGGCTCTGCAGTCGCAGGCCGGCTGGAGTCGCGGTTCCCCGTTCCATCACCTGGGCAGGTTGTCAAGTGAGTCCTGTCTGCTTCACTTGCTCATCTGTAAAGAGATCTGACAGGACCCACCTCAGAAGGCTGTGCTGGGACTGAATGAGCTGCCTGTGTGAGGGGCTCAGAGAAGGGCCAGGACCACAGCCTGAGGTGGGTAAGTGCTCCTGTTATCCCCATGCCCGAGGGGCCAGAGCAGGACACAGAGAGAGGGGCAATGGGAAGGATTCCAGTTTCCGGTTCCACACATAAGGAGCTTAGAGACCACCACTCCGTCCTAATGAATGAAAAGCCCGAACAGACTGGGGCCGGCCCAGTGGCACAGTGGTTAAGTTCGCACACTCCACTTCGGTGGCCTTGGGTTCGCCAGTTCCAATCCCAGGTGCAGACTATGCACCGTTTAACCAGCCATGCTGTGGTGGCATTCCACATATAAAGTAGAGGAAGATGGGCATGGATGTTAGCTCAAGGCCAATCTTCCTCAGCAAAAAGAGCAGAATTGGTGGCGGGTGTTAATCTTCCTAAGAAAAAAAGAAAAGCTGAACAGACTGAAAAATTCACAATCTTATTGGATCTGTAAGGCAGGGAGGACACAGGCAAACCCCTGCCCCCAAGGTTGGAGAAGACAGGGTGATGGTTCACAGAGCAGACTCCTGAGCACTGATGGGACCCTGGGCCTGTCACTGTGATTGCTGAGGCTTGGTGGGGGCAACTCTGAGAGCTGTAGACTCCAAGGGACCCAGTCACGGGGCCACAACACTGTCAGCCTTACCTCCAGGAGCTCCCTAGGTTCCCACGGTAAATACTGGAGGAAAACCCCACCTGCTTCCAGCAGGGGAAGAAAAGGAACCATTGGCAACAGCCAGAGCGCCTGTTTTTACGAGGCTGCCCCCAGGGGAAACTAGTTAACAGAGACTAACCTGCTGGGGTCTTGTCAGAGCCTGACTGACCTAGAGGAAGAGAAACACTCAACTCCAGCCCCTCTAGTCATCTGTCCCACCTAAGGGAGAGAAAAAAACTGAGAAACTGTGGAGTTCACAGTCAGAGGTGCAGGCTCACCAAAGACTGAGACCTACTCACAGGACCTCCCCACACCCCACACCACATCATTAAAGGCCTATTCACAGCAGTTCCTTACACTCAGCATGTCACTCCAGCTATCAAGAAAAAACTACAAGGCATACTTAAAGGCAAAAAACACAATCTGAAGGGACAGAGCAAGCGTCAGAACCAGACAGGGCAGGGATGTTGGAATTATCAGACCAGGAACTTAAAACAACTGTGATTAATATGCTACGGGCTCTAATGGATAAAGTAGGCAGCATGCAAGAACAGATGGGACCTGTAAGGAGAGACCTGGAAATCCTAAGAAAGAACAAAAACAAATGCTAGAGCTCAAGAACGCTGTACAGAAATGAAGAATGCCTTTGATGGGCTGATTAGCAGACTGGACATAGCTGAGGAAAGACTCTCTGAGCTCAAGGATAGATCAATAGAATCCTCAAAAACCAAAAAGCAAAGAGAACAAAGACTGAAAAAAAAAAAAGAACAGAATATCCATGGACTGTGGGACAACTACGAAAGTTGTAGTGTACCTGTAATGTGAACATCAGAAGAGAGAGAGAAAGGAACAGAAGAAATATTTGAAACAATGACTGAGAATTTCCCTCAGATTAGTGTCAGACACCAAATCACAGGTCCAGGAAGCTCAAATAACACTAAACAGAAAAAATACCCCCATACTACACCTCAACATATCATTTTCAAACTACAGAAAATCAAAGATAAAGAAAAAATCCTGAAGGAAGCCAGAGGGAAAGATGCCTTATCCACAGAGGAACAGAGACGAGAATCACATCCGACTTCTCCTCGGAAACCACACAGGCAAGGAGAGAGTGCAGTGAAATATTTAGTGTTGAGAGAGAAAAAAAAAACACCAACTAGAACTCTGTACCGTGTGAAATTATCCTTCAAAAGAGAAGAAGAAATAAAGACTTTCTCAGGCAAACAAAAATTGAATGAATTTGTTGCCAGTAGACCTGTCTTGCAAGAAATGTTAAAAGAAGTTCTTTAGAGAGAAGGAAAATGATAAAGGCCAGGTACTCGGATCTGCTCAGAGAGGAAGAGCATCAGAGGAGGAAAAAGTGAAGGCAAAATGAACACTTTTATTCTTTTTGTTTGTACTTGATCTAACAGATAGTAGTTTGTTCAAAATAATAGCCAATGTATTCAGTTTGGTATATCTGATGGATATATATATTTGCTCATGTATTCTTGTAGATAAGTGAAATGAGTGACAGCAGGGATACAGGGATGGGGGAAGGAATTGGGATTATTTGGTTATTATAAGGTACTCACACTACCTATGAAGGGGAGTGGTGGTATTTGAAGGTGGGTTTGGATTAGTTGTAAATGTATAGTGCAAACTCTAGGGCAACTACCTAAAAAAAATTAAGAAGAGAAATAATTGATATGATAAGAAAGGAAGGAAAATAGAATCATATAAAATGTTCAGTTAAAACCATAAAAGGCAGAAAAAGAGTGGAAGACAGGAACAAGAACAAGGGAAATTAATAGAAAACAGGAGCAAATGTGTTCAATATTAATCCACCTGCATCAGAAATCACTCTGAGGATCAGTGGCCCCAATGCACAATCAGAAGGCAGAACTCAGTAGCCACACGTGCCTAGTGCCTACTGTGTCTGAATGGCACAGACCATCACTGTGCACGGTTCTACTGGACAGCACTGGTCTATATCTTGCTAGGGACGCATTTGTCAAAACTCATAGGATGGTGAAAGCTTGTGCATTTCATTTATAAAATTTGCATTTAAATATATTGAACTCACTGAAGGCCACCTAGGCCGACGTGTTTAGGGTGAAGTGTACTGCTGTCTGCAGCTTACTTTGAAATGCATGAGGAAAGAGATAGACTGATGGATGGGCAGAGGGATGAAGAGAGGCACTCACGTACGCTGAAGCAAACCCAGCACACCGTTCAGCACAGAATCCAGGCATTAGGCGTATGTATGTTTATTGTACGCTTCTTTCAGCTTTTCTGTATGAAAACTTTCAGAATAAAATTATGAGGAAAAAAGAGAGAAATGGTCTGAGTGGATCAAAAGAACACAAACTGATTATATGCTGTCTACCAGAAACCACCTTTAAATATAAAGACACAGGTAGATTAAAAGTACATGTAGGGAGAAAAATAAATCATGCAAGGACTGTCAGAAGAAATAAAAAGGAGCTATGTTAATTTCAGACAGAGCTGACTTCAAAGCAAGGAAAGTGATCAGGAATAAAGAAGAGCATCACATAATGTTAACAGGTCAATTCTCCAAGAAACCACAGCAGAGCAGTCCTTAACATGCGTGCCCCAACAACAGAGCGTCAAACTACGGGGGGCTAGAACTGCAGAGAGAAAGAGATGACTCCACTCTGCTAGCTGGAGACTTCAGCACCCTCTATCAGAAGTGGAGAGAGGGCCATTTAAGTTTAAATTCAAAGCAGTGTAGAAGAAATTCGAAATAATATGCCACAAACACACAGTTGCTAAGGGGCAAAGAAATTATTTGCTTTGGGTAGGTTAGTCAAAAAAAGTATTACTTTTATTAGTTACTTTTCATTTGAAAATAATTTCGAGCTTAGAGGAAAGCTGCACAAATAGTACATAGAGCCCTCAAATACGTTTTACTCGGATTCATCAATGGGTAACATTTTGCTCCATCAGCTTTACGCTTTCACTCTCTGTCTCTCTGTATGTAGATAAATAATTTTCTCTGAAGTTACATCTGCCATATCGCTTTACCCGTATATACTTCAGTGTGTATTTCCCAATAGTCGTTCTCTTAAATAACCACAGCATAGTTATCAACGTAAGAAGATCTGACATTGATACTTTTATTTAATTTACTGTCTATATACCAGTTTGTCAATTGACCCAATAATGTCCTTTTTTAAACATTTTTTATTTCTGTACAGGATCCAGTGTGGGGTCATATACTGTATGTAGTTGAGAAATATAACTCAATTTCCAAATGTCTCAGAACAATTCCGTGGAAATTTCTTTGTACCTACATTTATTTTAACCCATCTTTGTCAGTAACTTAGTATCTGATATTTGATCTTACCCTATAGATAGAAAGCTAATGTCTGTGTCCGTGTTAAATTGATGGGCTTGATACCAAAATCATCTTTTTATTCTGCAGGTCACTTAGAAACTTGTAATTGCACTGTGGGAGTTCGTAACAGAATCTCTGGGAGAGGAACAGACACATCACCTTAAAGCTGCGACTCTCGCCGGCACCTTCTCCTTACGGTCATCTTTCGATGCAAAGTGCATGGAAGTGCTATTCTGGGTATCAAGCTTTCTTCTCTCAGAATCACATCATATGGCTATATTGTGGGGGGGGGGGGGGGGAGTGTGTATTTTATGCTGCTTCATTTGTGATTGGAAGACTGTGGTTAGAGAGTTCCCAGGATATATAGTATTTCCATGTCGGAGCAGGCTGGTCTTGTAGCACATTTTACAAATACTTAGCACTGGATACTGCAGAGTGGTGAGGTAGGAGGCAGTTTTCCAAAGTTCCAGTCCAAAATAAAATTCATCTGTCATTGATTGCCTTTACTGTGTTCTCATATGGAAACATTTAAAATCGTTTCAATAAAGCATTAAAAGAAAAACGGGTGCAGGCTTTCTTTCAATAGAATATAATGACTATGAGGGGAAAAAGTTCTAATCTTTCAGCACCTTTCCAAAATGCTGATTAGGCACACAGTGTAGCTTGCAACTACGGGTAGAAACAATTTGACCAAATGGATGTGAGGACAGATAACACTTTTCTTAAGGTTCTGATGCCCATCTTCCTGCAGAACAGTTTTCTTCAACATATGCAGAAACAGCTGAGTGGTGTGTTGACTTGCTGAGACGGAGGTGTGTTCTGAAGTGGCATGGTGGTGGGACGCCAGCGCAGGCTCTCCACGCTGGTTCTCCCATGGCTGTATCTGAGGTTTGCAGCAGACCTGCCGCATCGGGAGGAGATGGAGGAGGCGCCCATGGTCCCTGGACACAGCCTCGCTTCCCAGGACTCCCCCGTTTTCTTCTGCGTAGCTCTGTCAGCTGCGAGGGGATGTTTTTTTCTCTCTTGCTGTGTCTCCTTTGACATCTGCACATCTGCTGCCCGAGGACCTTCCCAGAAGGCCTGGTGGGACATGTAGCTGTGTGTGGTTGGATGTCCTTTGAGAGCCCCTCCCTGGGTCGGGACCACGAAGGTTTGATGTCATCTTTCTACACACACACACACACACACACACACACACACACGGATGCCAAAAGATGAGTTGGGGATGGAGTCATCCTCGACTCACGTATCTGAGGAGTGCTTCAAACCAATGGCTTGGTAGCAGTGAGAAATCTCTCCAGGCCGTCATCTGGGTTCTCTGAAATGGTGATGCTCCAGGAGCGATGCAGGCAGATCATGATGTCAGCTCTGAACACCAAACAAGCCTGGGAGACGGTGGTGGGAGGGCGGGGCTGGGGTGGATCCTGTGTTCCTGCTCTGGGACCGTCCCATAGAGTCTCGAGACCTCTTTATTTTTAGCCCAACGAGAAGTATTTAACCTCAAGACAAAATATACCTATTTCCAAAATTTGCTGCTTTTCACCAGCAACTCAAAGTCATATATGTACAAATTGATTTTATTTTTTGCATCCCATGAAAGTAATATATATTTATAATAGGAAGTTGAAACAATCAAAAACCACAAAAGGAGAAATAAAAAACATAAAACTAGGACCTATAATCTTGCCATTCATTGATAACCATGGCTGACCTTTTGATGTATACATACACACTCTAATCCTTTTTCTCCTATATAAACACGTGCAAAATATTTTTTATCAAAACCATATAATGCTGATGAGATAATTTAGGATGTAATTTTCTTCCAATTGGAGAATTTTTTGTTTCCCTTAGCACTTCAAGTCCTTCTGAAACTCGTAGAATCGTCACAGGTCACCCCAGATGGAACCACCAACCTCACCTCTGCAGTCTCCACAGGCAAACATTACAAAATGCTGGGCGTGGATGTGTTTCCAGCGAGCCGCACGGGGTGAGAAGTGCGCCCTTTGTCTCCAAGGTCATAACGACTCTGCTGACTTCAATTCCTCTCACCACAGCTAGTGAGCACAGCTCGAAAATGCCAGAAAGGAGAGCCCCCTGCCCCGTGATCCCAAATGAAAAAAACAGAGAATGTAGAAATCCCTCATGCGCTACCCCCAGGCCCCTTTTGTGCTGTTCTTGCCAACGCAGCAGCCGTCCTGCTACATAGACCGGCTGCCACTCTTGTCCCCGCAGTCTGGACTCTGGTCATCGCTGTCAACAGCCATGGGGAAGGTGAGCCGAGCAGGGCCACGCCGTGTCTGCTGAGCGTCTGCCGTGGGGGTCCTCCCGGCTGACGTGCTGCCGCCTCTCGTTCTCCCCGCAGATCACCTTCTTCGAGGACCGCGGCTTCCAGGGCCGCCGCTACGAGTGCACCAGCGACCAGCCCACCCTGCAGCCCCACCTGAGCCGCTGCAACTCGGTGCGCGTGGACAGCGGCTGCTGGATGCTCTACGAGCGCCCCCACTACCAGGGCCACCAGTACTTGGTGCGGCGCGGCGACTACCCCGACTCCCAGCACTGGATGGGCCTCGGAGACGCGGTGGGCTCCTGCCGGGCAATTCCTTACGTGAGTCTTGCTTCAACCGGACTGATGTGAAAGCATCATTGATCCGTGGCCGTAAATTCCTGTTACAAGTCAGTCTGTTTCAATTCAAGGCTAGTGTCCACAGTAAGGATAGCAATTCCTGACTCTCAAGCATTGAAAAAATGTGAGCAGGATTATGAATAACTATAATCTCTATTTTTTTCTTACTTAAGGATGACAAGATGGTTTTTAGGGCACCAGAAATTACAACATAGCCTCTACAATTAAATTTGGTAGCATCTAGCTGATCTCTAATTTCTAAATAAAAATCACCTTGTTCAGTAAAGAAAAAATCTATCTAGATCATTATTTTTTAATGATAGAAACACTAACAGACTGCAGGAGAACAATACAGGTATGATGCATTCTCACTGTATCGGCAGTTGTTTTCAGTACCTGCTCTACAACACACGGATCTAGAAGCTGGAATGATGTGTTTTAGCTTGTTGTTATCGACAGTTTCTAACAACGAGCAGAGACGGATCATGTGTCAGGGTGTCACGGACGTTGTCCTAGCCAAAGTGCTGCCTAATGTGTTTTAAGAATGTGGAGTTTGTGTTTCTGCTTTCTGATGACACCAAATTATGCGGTGTGGCAAGCAGATTCGAGAAGTGAAGCCAGAATTAGGCTAGAGAAATTTGCAAATGCAAAAAGAGATACAAATAAAACAGGAATTTCTTTGAGGCAAGAAACTCAAATGGTACAAGTGACGGCAAAATGTCAGATGTGCGGACTCAGAGTAAATATAGATTGTTGTAAATTATGAATACAAAAGTGACCTAAAAACAAGCTTGATAGGACTCCGTCATACGCAGTCACAATGGAAAAGGGGTTACCATCGTCTCTCAGACACACTAAACACAGTTGCGACAGATGGTTTCCTACAAAGGAACCCTTTTATTCCCTTTATCTCAATGTTTGTTTCTTCCACAAGATAGTCCACTAGTCAGGTCAGTTTTATGTTAAGCCTCTTCCTAATTTGTTAGACCAACAATGTAAGGAGATGATGCATGTATGACAGGATGGTTTGAAAGCCATGCTTCACAAAGATGCAGCTGGTTGAGTCACTGTTATTGACATCAAGGATGCACACTATTTATTTTTCTTGTTTATTGTTACAACAGACCAGCTCTCACAGGATAAGGCTGTACGAGAGAGATGACTACAGAGGTCTCGTGTCTGAGCTCACGGAGGACTGCCCCTGCATCCATGATCGCTTCCGGCTCAGTGAGCTCCGCTCCCTCCAAGTGCTGGAGGGCTGGTGGGTCCTCTATGAGATGCCCAGCTACCGGGGGCGGCAGTACCTGCTGAGGCCGGGGGACTACAGGTGGTACCACGACTGGGGGGCCGTGGATGCCAGAGTCGGCTCTCTGAGACGGGTCATTGATTTGTGCTAGGCTGTGTTTTTCTTGTTATGATCACTTAGAAAGGCAATAAATACACAAATTGTGGCGCTAAGTGACTCTTGTTTAGCTTTAAAAACTAACTGAATTCTAATAAATGGTGACCTCTGGCAACTGACCTGACCCTGAAGTTCAGATATTTTGAATGTCTACTTACTTCTCCTTGGTCAGGCAGCAGTATGTCTGAAGTCCCCACTCATGTCATGGGAAGGAGGGAGAAGCACTGTCTCTGCCTCTGTGCCCCACAAGCTGAAGGAGAAAGGAAAGATAAACATCATAAAAACGATCAGAACCCATCTCCTGGAGAAAATATAGAACCAGTCGTGACTGGGACACCAAATACAAGGGATTGTTGGAGAGGTCAGGGCAGCTGAAGGTTCCAAATAGGATGACTCAAGAAAAGCTGAGTGAAGAGAGGGATTTTAAGCAGAATTCCCAACGTAGAGAAGGTCAAGCGTGCTGGATGAGGTCATCTGGTAGCATCAGCATTAAACCAAGAGCTACTGGGTCTGAGTTGTTAGCTTGTCTCTGCTACTTGCTAGCGGAGTGACTAGCTCAGTCACGTCTTCCAGGTACTCTCCCAGTTTTCACAGTAAAAGATCTACATCTCACAAAACCCCCAGTCTCAGGCGAACCGGGGTGGCTGGTTACCCTACTTACTGGCTTCTCTCTTTGAGCAAGTCACTTCTTATCTTCTCTGCACCTAAATTACCTTTTTGAAAACCACAGTGATAATAAATGCCTGCCTCACTAAAGCCTAGGGTAATCATGATGAGAAGATGGGGAAGCTTGCGAACACACTTTGTTATCTTTAAATTACTGTACAAATGGAAGTGTCAGGAATTCACATATTCTCAGTGTCCCCTCAAATTTGACACTCTGTGTGGCCATCTTTGTTTTGGGCTTCAATATGAATCCCTATCAAGACTCAGTTATGCTGAGTGAGGTACTGGTATTTGCTCTCCTGCATACCTTTGGGACTTCTTTCCACTATAGTAGAGATGCTCTCCCAGAATGCTAATTCTTTTCCCAAATTTATATAAGCAAAAGTAGTGCTCTGTCCCAGGTAACTTCTTTGTAGAAATTGATAAATTGATTTTAAAATTGATACAGAGTTGCAGAGGACCCAGAATAGCCAAAACAATCTTGAGAAAGAAGAACAAAGCGGGAGGACTCACACTTCTCCATTTCAAAACTGGTGACAAAGCTACAGCAACCAAGAAAGTGAGATACTGGCACTCAGGTGAATGGAAGAGACTTGAGAGTCCAGAAGCAAACCCAGCTGTCTATGTCGAGTGAGTCTGACAAGGGTGCTAAGACCATTCAGTGGGGAAAGGATAACTTTTCAACAAATGGTACTGGATATCCACATGCAAAAGGATGAAATTAGACCCCTACTTCACAATAAAAATTAATCAAAGTAGATCAAAGACTTAACTGTAAGAACTCAAACTGTAAAACTCTTAGAAGAAAACACAGACATACATCTTTATGATCTTTTATTAGGCAATGATTTCTTAAATATGACACCAAAGCACAAACAATAAAAAATAAATAAACTGGAGTTCATCAAAATTAAAACATTTTATGCATCAACGGACACTATCAAAAAAGTAAAAAGGCCCACAGAATGGGAGAAAATAGTTACAAACCATATATTTGATAAGGGTCTAGTATCCAGAATATATAAAGAACTCTTACAACTCAACAACACAAACAATGCAGTTAAAAAATTGTCAAAGGACTTGAATAGACATCTTTCCAAAGAAGATATACAAATGGCCAACAAGTGAATGAAAAGATGCTCAACATCATTACTTATTAGGGAAATTCAAATCAAGACCACAGTGAGATACCACTTAATACCCACTAGGATGGTAACAATACTTTTAGAAAAAAAAAGAAACAGAAAACAGCAAGTATTGGTAAGGATGCAGAGAGACTGGAACTCTGGGAATTGCTCCTGGGAATGTGAAACGGTGCAGCCACTGTGGAAAACAGTTTAGCAGCCCCTCAGATAGTTAGACATGGAGGTACCACATGACTCAGCAATTCCACTCCTAGGTACATGCTGAAAAGAACTGAAAAGCAGTGTTTAAACAGAAACTTAGACACGAATGTTCATAGCCACAATATTCACAATAGCCTAAAGGTGAAAACAACCCAAACGTCTACCAAGGGATGATTGGGTAATTAAATGTGATATCTCCATACACTGGAATATAATTCAACCGTAAAAAGGAATGAAGTACTGACACATGCTACATCATGGATGATCCTTGACAACATGTTGAGTGAAAGAAGCCAGTCACATAAGGCCACATTTTGCAGGATTTTATTAATATGAAATCTCCAGAAGAGGCAAATCTACAGAGACAGTAACTAGGTCCGTGGTTGCTTAGGGCTGGGGGATGGGCAGATAAGGGAATGATAAGTAAAGGATACAGGGTTTCTCATTGTGGTGGTGAGCATGTTCTAAAATTGACTGTGGTGATACCATATACATGGACTGTAGACGGTAAAAGGGCCAGAATAAATTAACTATTTTCCAGAAAATTCCTCTAACTCAAGGAAATGTGAGCGTCCTCAATGTCCTTTTGACAGTCACCCATTACTGCTATCCTAGAAGTCTACACTCAGATAAGTGAATCAGGGACCACGGAGCCCTTTACAGTCAGTTAATGCTGAGATCTTAGAGTTAGGATGAAGAAATCAGCCTGGGAGCCATCAGTCAACTGAAGAATCCACTAGAATATACCGGAACTCCTGTTAGAGCCAAAGATCCTCAGGGTTCGTAGGGACACAGCAGGTAACTTGGGTGCTAGGCCTTTTGCAAATTAAAAAAAAAAAGTGTGACACTGAACCTATGATGAGAAGCGTGTAATTCAGGGAAGACAGAAGACGTGTTCATCCAGAAGGTAACATCCGACACCACTGTGTACACACAGAGGCGTTAGTCCAGGTCCCAGAGGCTGACAGACTCGAGTTCAGCTCCCAGTCCCTCCGCTCACCAGCCATGGGCACCTTTCTGGATTTGTTTCTCCACAGTGCTCAGTATTGTGGTTGGACTTGGTCAGCCAGGGCCCTTGGCCTGCACTAGCGCTTCAGAGAGCCCCACTCCAGCCTCCTCCACTGCAATCTCCTCACAGGACAGGCCACACTCCTCCTTCTGGACCACACTCCTTATACCCGGGGCTCCAGAATTCCCTGCATTGAGAGCTTGCTCCCAAGACCCCAGAGAGCCTTCCACAGGCCTATCCTCCCAAGGACACAGGTAGTTACAGGGCAGCTGTCCGTGGGAAGGGGGGCATGTGGCTGGACCTTGGACGTGTGAGGGAGTGGGAAGAGAGACGGAAGTCCATGGTGCGGCAGGGCTCTGTTTATGCTCTTGCCCCAGATCTCACAGACATTTGGGGAAGTCCTGACAATAACTGTGGCATGTTGGCTGCACGCATACTTTGTACAGGGTTCTTGGTCAGTGTCTGGGACACACTAGGCACTCTTCCTACATTAGGCTCTGATTATGAGCCTAATTCGGCAGGTTCAGTCCTACCCGCTCAAATGTGAGCAGCCACGGCTCCTCCAGCAGGGTCGTGGCAGCAACATGCTGACAAGCTCAGGAGGGTTCATCCAGAGACACAGAGGTGGTCACCAGAGAGTCAGGAAGACACGTCTGCAAGCACATCAGGAAAACCCAGTGTGCAAACTAAAGCACTTGTGTGGGGCGGAGGAGGGAGAGGAATGAGCTGTCTCCACGGAGACCTCCACGGGCCGCAGGTGCATTAATGGCTCCTAAATGAATGACTTTGCTTTTGGAAGAAGCCAGGGTTATATCGGATCTATTCAAATATTTCAATAAGCAAGCTTATACATTTTGATATACAAGTTTATTTAACCATGAGTTTCTAGAGGACCTTAAATGTGTTTATACATTTTTTTTATTTAAATAAGACCTGTCTTTTTAAAAAAGAGTTTTGCAGTTATTTTTAATGAAAAAAAGAACGTACAGAACGTTAGCATTAAACTCGGTGTTCAAATATCTCTGATAAAAGTCTCGCTGGCGTCAGCCCCAGAACGTCTGCACATTGTAAAGTGGGGCGTTGGCGGGGACACAGGGAGACGCAGCAAAGCGTGACTGGCAGCAGCGAGGACCCGGCGTCTCATCCCACTGACCCATCCGTCTTCTAAAACGCAAGAGAGTGGCTAGGAATCTCTTTCATTATTTTCCTTCTGAAATATGTTGCTTATCACTTTTTCTTTCATTTCATTCTCTTCCTCAGGCCACTCCTCCTGTCTCTCCTTCAGCCATTAGAGGGATGTGCTGAGACCTTAACAGGATGGCCCTAGAGGTGCTCTGATGTTCCCCACCATCAGGAAGGCCTCCTGCCCTCGGCCTGCACCAGCCTGCAGGTTTCTGGGCCATTACTACCTCCCCTCCCTCCCTCCCACGTCTTCCAGGTCACTGAGGACAGCATAGAACTGGAGGGTGTTGGAACCAGAGAAAGTGCTAGAGGAGCCGGTGGGAGAAAGTGGCTTCTGTGTCTCTGATCATCCACATAGGCAACTCACGCCTCATGTGGCAGAGTTACTATTTCCCAAAATAGAATTGGGATCATTATTGGTTTAACTGTTTGTCACGTTCCCAGGGCTCTGTTTATCCATCTAATTAATTAATAAGGACTTACGGGGGATTGGGAAGTGCAATGTGGTCCTTACCCAGGAGCTTATAACCTTGTTGAAGACACTGTACCAGGAAAAGAAGAAATTATACAAGAAAGACAACGCCTAAGTGCTCGACTGGGTGCTGATGAAGCAGATGTAGACATTCAGAGAAGGAGAGACTGGGAAAAGCTGGTTCTAAGAGGAGACGTCCCGGGAAGAGAGACCTAGACGGCCTTGGAAATTGAGTGGAATTTGATAAGCTTCTGCGAAGGGGAGGTGTTTCAGGATTGCTGGGGAGCAGCGCCCTCACATGGGCCCAGATCACCATGGACATCTTGAATTTAGAAGGCAAAATGAGAAAAAATTCTCCCTCGTTAGCCCTTCTGAGCCACCAACATTTAAAAGAAATGTACCCACAGTTTTCAGTGTGGATGTGTTTGTATTCCTAGTGTTTATATTTCTGTACTGAACTGTACAGGGTTCAATAAAATAATGAAAGTGAGGATACTTGTTCTGACTTGCTCTTTCTGTATCGACCTCCCTTTTCCACACTGCTTCAAAGACCTCTAAAGCGCTGAATAGAAAGGATGCACAGTTCTAATGTGATGAAAAATAAAAGCACACAAAAACACTGCATTGGTGATATGGAAATGGAAAAAGGGAGAAATTCTATTGTTAGCCAAATCAGGCTTAAGTCACCCGATAGGTCTGAAACATGCACACATATGCACACACTCGAGCACGCACACTCCCGAGCCTCTGCCACAGCTGTTGATGCCCCTGCCTTCTGCATCCCCAGTCCCCCAGCCACAGCGAGTGGGTTTAGAACAGGGACTTGTCAATGAATTCACGGTAATGTGTTCTCGGGAGGATTTCCCTTCCTGTTGGCATGTTCCACTGCAGATCGCCTCCTATGAGTGCAGCCACTCCAACTCGCAGTCCTGCCTCAGCCACAGCGACTTGGTGCGTGCAGGTGGACAGCATGAGCTGGGGCATCCACCACCAGCAATGGGTGGACTTCAACGACTCTATCCGCTCTGACTGCCTGGTCCTCACATATGTTCTTCCTCTTCTTGGCATCTTGCTCAAGACTGCACACAAACAGTACTCACCATTTGATTGTGAAATCAAAATTACCACACAGAGGATCTTTGCTAAATTAGACTAAAAGTGTCCCAATATAAGAAGTTATCCATTGATTAGATTTAGTCTCCATACCATAAGCAAAAGTGTAGACACTATGACATTGAAGCACAGAAACACGAAGATTTATTTTTGACTGAAGTACCAAGGAATTCTATTAATTTCGTCATTTTTAGCATTTATTAAAACATGAATGATATAACATTTTTTCACCACTGGCATTACTTTACAATTTACCATGTGCTTTCAAGTCCACTATGTCATTAGACTTTCATTGTCATTCCTATTTTATAAATGGGGAAACTAAGGCTTGGGGAAGTCAAGTGACTTTCCCAAGATCACCGAAGCAGAAGCAGAAACTGCAGAGATGCGTGTGGACACATGCAGCCCTCGCTCCTCAACTGTGCTCTCCTCAAACAGCGCCTGTTCAACAGTTCCATGGCGCTTGTAAGCACTGTGAAGAAAATAACCGCAGAGGAAGCCGTGTGAAAGCAAGGCCACGGGACAGACAGCGCAGGTGGTCACACAGGGTGTTGTCTGCACCAAGCAATGTGCTGGCCCCAAAAGCACCACTCACCCCGACCCCGCCCAGCCCAGGTCCCCGAGGCTCCGACATCAGACACTGATCCCACAGCTGAGCGGGCTTGCGTGCAGGCCTACGGCTCAAAGCCCAGACTTTCCCATGATTTTGGATTCAACAGGCAGGGACCGCTCTCTTACCAGCCTCTTCACCTTACACTCCACTTCTGGGTGTTTTATCTGACTCCCATCACGTCCTGATGTGATCGTTTGCCTCAGGCTCCTGTAGTGCTGCGCTCGTTTCCAATGTTCCGGATGACTCTACAGTGTCACGATGTCACACAGCACAGGCTGAGAGAGAGACTGGAGCCAGCCCGTAGCCACCCACATGCTCTGTCACCCACGGAGACTCCTGCCCGGCCTGAGCATCGGCTGCACACCGTGCTGCTTCTGTCCCAACAAGGGATGCCACCCACCGCGAGTTTCCCTTTTTATAGGAAGAGCCTTAGACGGTAGACTATTATACAACATAAATAACACATTTTCAGGAGTAATAACCATACTTTTCAAAGCAAAAGCAATGAAAAGACTGGCATCATTTTACATTTTTTATGAACGTCTTTCAAGTCACAGCCTCTGGAGAAACGCCACCGCACACATGTGAAAGGGCAAGAGTGAGGAAGGCAAATAACATCTTGGGGTTGTTATGAAAACTGTTCTGCCTTATGAACCCCTTGAAAGTGTCTCGGGGACCTCGGAGTCCCCATTCCTCAGTGTGAAATCCATACTATCAAGAGGGTCTGTTGCTTGGCCTGGGTGCTGTGGGCATCTCAAAAGCCCAAGGAAGCAGGTGGTGTGGTCCTTGGAGGGCATCCACATTGCCCTTCACACTGACAGCCCCTTACCCAGCGAGCAAGACTTGACAGTGCTGAAGAGGAGAGAAGATCTGAGGACTTCGGGAGGGGGCAGGACCAACGGCAGGGGCACGCTGGGCAGCCACAGCAGAAGGAGGGAGGGCTCCCAGGGAGACACGGTAAAGGGGGAAGGCCAGGGCGGTCTGCTTCCTTTAGCTCAGAGCCAAGGACTGAGGGCCTACTATGTGCCAGCTCTCTGTCCAAAGGCCCTGGGGCAGAAAGGAGCACAGAGAGTTCCCAGCTGCCAGGAGCCAAAAAGTTTCCAGTCAAGGATCAATTTTACTCAAGATAGGCCCCAAATAACAACAATGACCCCAGAACCTTGAATTTGAACTCAGCTTTATGCTTTCAAAGCACTGTCACAGACCACTTCACTTGATTCCCTCTTCCTTAAGATTCTTTAATTAAATTCTGGGTTTTTAAGAAGTTTATTTTTAACACCACCAGTCGCTGAGCAGACTGCATTGGTTAGCCTGACTACTTTTGAGGAGTCAGTTAAGCCGAGTAGGCTATGAAACAAGCGCATGAGGATGGAGTTTCGCTCATCCGTTGGCTCCACTGAAAGAGTAGACTCTTGATTTTGGTGGCAATCACAGCTTTAGTGAATTAGAACAGCCCGAACCTACCAGAAAGAATGAGAGGAAACCGCCCAGCTAGCGCGACGCCCAGGGGAGGGAGCGGAGCTGGCAAATGCCCTTACTCACCGAAATGGGGCCCTTTGTGCGATTTCCTGCGGAGGCAGCAGTCCGCGTGCTATATAGACGGCGGCCTCCCAGCCCCGCCATCGCCACCCGTCTGCTCGCTCCAAGATGGGAAAGGTGAGTGCGGGGGCCCGGTGCGCACCCTCGGCCGGGTCGCAGCATCCTCGGCGGCGGCAGCGCTTCATGCTCCCACGTCTTCCCTCCTGCAGATCACCTTCTTCGAGGACCGCGGCTTCCAGGGCCGCCGCTACGAGTGCACCAGCGACCAGCCCAACCTGCAGCCCTACCTGAGCCGCTGCAACTCCGTGCGCGTGGACAGCGGCTGCTGGATGCTCTACGAGCGCCCCCACTACCAAGGCCACCAGTACTTGGTGCGGCGCGGCGACTACCCCGACTCCCAGCACTGGATGGGCCAAAGCGACTCCATCCGCTCCTGCCGCCTCATCCCCCCCGTGAGTGTGACTGTCGTGTCTCTCGTCTCTTTGGAAATGAAAGCCGCTTAAAAATCTCATTCTTCGTTCCAGCCGGGGCACAGACAGTGGAGCAGAGCCTGGTGCCAGCAGTCTGGCCCAGAGGGTGTCTCAGATGGGAAGCCATTCTTCAGTCACTTTGGTGGTTTTTTTAAATCACACGTTCCCAGATTTTATACTTTAAATGTAATCAAAATTAAAAGACCAAAGACTAATTAAGAAAAAGCAAGGCATGGTGGAGACTCAAGTTACCATCGGTTCAAGATGTAATTTCTTAAAGTGGTCATTCTAAGCCAAGTCAACTCAGAAATCCAATAGATCAAAATTTATCAATACAATCTTGGTCTGTTTAATTGGTAAAAATACTTTGGGTGGCTTTGGCTTACTTTTCTATTTGATTATGTTCCCGGAGAAGACAGGCCCCTGTCCTCTAGTTTCAATTCTGATTTCATGGTCGATAGCTGCCAGCTCTCTTAGAAGAACATATCAGAGGAAAGACCAACGCCAACTGACGTTTGAGAGTCAACACTTTCAGAGAGTGAGCGCAGAGTTCTTAGGAGAACTGAGTGTGGGAAGAGTGGGTGCAGTGTCCTTCAAACCCGGCTTAGGAAGGTGATTCTAGCAGCTGGGGGAAATGAATAAGTGGAGGCGAGGGAACCAGAGAGGAAGCTAAAGGGTTAGATAGGTTGAAATCTGGACTAAAACTGAGGCTATGAAAACAGAGGTAAGGAAAATGTGGCATCTCATTTTTACAAGAGTTTAATAATCCTCATTCCATAGCGTACCTAAAACCCAAAACGCTGCTCTTACGGAAAACAGCTAAATGTTGGTTCCTTTTTAACAAGAGTAATATATCAAATGAGACTTCCCTTTCCGGTGTCTCTCACTTTTCTCCTTTGAGAAGGACTTTCTCTAATAACAATTTTATTTTAGGCAAACCTTAATTCCCAAGGACAGAGACTGGCGGAGGGGCGGCTGAACCGCTGCTGAGTTCTGTCCTCACGTTGCCCACAAATCATCAGACTCACTGTGGGGCGGCGCTGGGGCCAGGGAGGCTCTTTAACTCTGTAACCTGGCTGTTCTGGAAGCGAATTTGGACTCAGGGAACCTCTGGGTTCTGAGGCCAGGGAGGTGCAGGGGCTGGAACTTTAATTCCTGTGTGTGTTCATTTACTTTTTCCTTCTGTCCGCCACCCCAGCACACGGGCGCTTACAGAATGAGGATCTACGAGAGAGATGACTTCAGAGGACAAATGTCAGAAATCACCGATGACTGTCTCTCTCTTCAGGACCACTTCCACCTCAATGAAGTCCACTCCCTCAACGTGCTGGAGGGCTGGTGGGTCCTCTACGAGATGCCCAGCTACCGGGGAAGGCAGTACCTGCTGAGGCCGGGGGAGTACAGGAGATATCTTGACTGGGGGGCTGTGAATGCCAAAGTTGGTTCTTTTAGACGAGTCATGGATTTTTACTGAAGTATTTACATTCTCCACTTTTCTCCCTAGAATCTAATAAAATATTTAGCTTGTGTTTCTGGCACTAATGGAGTCCTGGTTTTCTTTCAATCTAAGACTTAATAAGCGATAATGGTACTTGGCTAAACGTAATGACGTTTTCAAGATGAGAAATGACGTCTTACAAGGGGAAGGAAGTAGAAGACGTTATTGCCAGCGTTCTTTAAAGACTAAACCACATAGGCTCAAAGTTCTATTCAACTGGCTAAAGCCATTTGTGGCTAGTCTTACAAGGATCTATTTGCAACTACAATGATACATTAGTACTCACTAAACACCTCAAGTTAGCCCCGCCATGGTCCCTATACAGTCCAAGTCTTAGCTGATGAGGAAAGTCGTTCTCAGCATCTAGACTCTTCCTTCAGTTCCATAAACAAACAAAAAAACTGGTCCCTCTCGTCCGTTGCACCCCGTCCTTCTAGCAGCCATGATTCCTTTTCTCCCAATTCCATTTCCAATACCTCATTCCTGCGTGAGATTCCCAGTCCAAATACAATTCACTATCTCTTTGCTGTATGTATTTTGTGAAGAATTCCAGAATTTCTCCCAAAACCACATGCTCACAGGGAAACTCAGCTTCCTAGCATTTTAATAGGAAGTAAAGTATTAAGATTATACATAGAGAATAATACTAAGTGGAAAATAAGGAATCAAAATTTTCTGGAGAAGTTTGATTGTATTGTTTGTTTATTTTTTAAAAAATGGATTAAGGTTACTAATAAAAAATTACAATATAATAAATTAAAGAATTTTAAAATAGGAGAATGAGGAAATTGAGTTAGAGGAAAACAACAGTAAGAGAGAGAAAGAGATGGAGCCAGGAATGAAGGTCGACCCGAGCCATGGGCTGTAAGGCGCTTTGCTGGCTGTTGACAAAGCAGATTTGGATCCAGCAGCCAAGGCAGAGATGGAGAGAAGATTGGTTCCACGACTCAAAGAATCTGTAAGGCAAACAAATTAATGATTCAAGGCAAGCCCCACCATTCCTGGTACTGAAACCTAAAAGAAAGGTTTCTTGTGGGTCCTGGTAAAGAGGTTACTGAGTAAATAGCATCCTCGCTAGAGTCCTGCAGTAATTAAATATGGTTCTTAGGGCTGTTTCTTCCAAAGTTTCTCAGTGAAGCTGGTGGCTTCAGGTCAAAATTCCTCTTAAATAGCCCATCCTTTGAGACTGTAATGAAATGGCTCAAATCCCACCTCACATAGGATGGGAGACTTGTGTCCCACTTCCTCCAACATATTATACACAATGTCACTGTAATTCTGCAGAGGGAACAAGGGGTTTGTGCTTTTCCCAGGTGCCCTTCACTCTGGACTCCTGCATCCTCACTGAGGACCATCCTGCCCTCCCACCCATGCCCCTCCCACTCTGTGCACCACACTGACCCAGACAGGAGACACAGCTCCTCTTCCTGTAGCCCCTGCGCCATCTCTCCCATGAAGCACTGATGTGTGCAGCAGCTCTATTGTAGAGGTTCTGGGGAGTGATGCAAGTTTAGATCAAATAGCACAAAAATATCAAACTTCATACCAGGTAGCCTTGCTCTGGACGGTCTGCAAGTCCCAACCTGCTGCTGGGTGGCCTGATCTTCCTTCTCTCCCCAGCGCCTCTCTTCTCAGTTCTTAGCTGCACCCACATGGTTGCTCACTTTGTGTAGAGTCCCCTTCCACTCCATGTCCTCAAGGACACCATACCCACCACCCAAGCGGCTTACAAACAGAGCAAGCATTTAATTTCTTGCTTAAACTAAGTCATTTTTGAGAATGAAATTGTGTACTATTGATGACTACACTGGGACAAGGGGCATGAACCAAGATGGTTCCAGGCAAACCAGGGCCCATGGTTAGGCTACTTATACAGGTTCCTTCCCTGGAAAATAGTCAGATTCTTGAATTATTGTATATTAATTGTTGATAAATCCCAGTTCTTTTGGCTTTAAACTCCCAGCAGTAGTGTTGGCTTCCTGGAGATATTAACCAGAGTCCTCTGTTTGCCAGTAATAATATGTCAAACATGAATTAGAAAGCCAAAAGCTTCTTGGAGTGTTGAGTTTTATACTATTTTCCCAGTAGGCATAAAATCATAGACTGCAGACACAGAAACTTCCCTGAAACACTTGAACTGAAGGCACATAAAATTAGAGCCCCTGGATCTCATTGATCAAGTTTTTTCTTCTTGAAGATCGGTTGCTTCCATCCCTGGGGCAAAGAGAACTGTGTTCTCCCTCTAATCTCAAAGTAAAGAAAAAGTCCACATTGGGGAGCAGCTGGGGACTACCTCCTAATTCTCCACCTTCCTCTTTCTCTCCTCCTCTCCCTAAAGTAAACCCTGGACCTCCAAGAGTGGAAAGAGTCTGGGGTGGAAGCAGCCTCAAGAGTGGAATGGGAGAAAGGACATCCCACAGTATTCCGCTAACCTTTATCCCATTGAGGTGAACCATTCCTTCAAGGTGACCCCTGAGTCAGCCTCCATGCCCAACACACACCAGTATTTCCTGCACATCATCACTTGTAACACCAAGTCCAGAGTTAACATCTTCTTCCTCTCTTCCCCCTTTCTCCCTTTGAATTTACTTCTTCTGGTCTATCGACCTTGAAAAGGCCCACCAAGCAAAGAAACTGGAGGAGCAGCTATTCCATGAAGGAGCGCCAAAAACTGTGGTACCAAGCTGTACCCTCAAAGGATCTCCTCATGGCGGGCTCCCTCTCCAGTCTTTCTGCCCTGCTGACAAGGATGGGGTTAGGTCATGATGTTAGTGTGTGTCTTACTCCCTCAAGTTCAAGTTTTCTTCTTTGTGGGTTTGTTAAAGTAAAAGTGGCCATTGCAACCACCTGTTGCTTAAACCAGACGAAATGTATTGCTCTTAACACAAAAGTAAATTTGTTCCAAGAGGAATGTCACAGGAGTTAAGCAAAGGTGGGTCAATGATTGCTTCCTGTGTTCTGTCATTTATGGAACGATCATCAAGGACATGCTGAGGAAGAGGACAAGAGGCTGGCGCTGTGGCGGGACTCTTGGTCCCTTACCCAGTCTCCTTGTTCAGGGCAATTCGGTCTGCATGGCCGCCAACCAAATGACCTTTTCCTACTCAACCAAGCATGTACACAATGCAAATGCTGCATTAATTACTAGGAAGCAGGAAGGTGGGAGGTAAGGTCAACTGCTGGCTGGACCTCAGACAAGCAAAACTCTGGAACTGGCAGCTGCTGCTGTCCCATTCATTGGCATCTCAGACAGAATCACCAAGGAGCAGAGGGTTTAGAGGACAACACACGTTCCTCTTTGCTCTCTTTTGCTTACAGCAGGCCCTTGTGATAAAGGCCTCTTGGATCAAAGGTGGGGTGCTCCTGTCATCCATACATTGAAAGTTGCAGATGCTGAACTTTGATGCGTGTGTGTGCTGAGCATCTGAAATCGGTCCCATGGACTATTAGAGCAATGGATTTCAGACCAGGGAAAAACATTCATACCCTGTATTCATTGAGCAACCTTAATATGCCAGTCCACTTTGTCAGTTAGTGAGAATACAAAAATAAAGACAGAATAGGGGCTCTCCTCATTTATTTCAAGGAACTGATGTCTAAACAAAATAAGCACATAAGTGATCATACCATTACAGTGGTATGAACAAGATGCTTGAGGAACAAGGTAGACAGTATTAAATTCAGCCCAGAGGATTAAGAAGGGTTCCAGAAAATATCTACAGAGGAATTGACACTTGATTTGAGCCTTGAAGAAAGAGTAACATTTCTCTGGGTGGAAACTGTAGAAGTGGTGTCTCAGTGAAAAGGATCAATATACTCAAAAGCAAGAGAAGTGTGAGGATAGCATTGCATATTTGGGAAACCACAAGTGGTTCAGTGTGACTGGGCAGGACATCTGGGGACAGACAGGACGTCGGGTCTGCTGTGCTACATTGAGGAGTCGGGGTCGAGGGTGGAGGCAGTGGGAGTGAGGAAGGGCTTCTAGCAAGGCGGCGGCCGTCTTAGTTCAGGCTCTATAGTAGTGTTTTCACTACTCTGCTCCAAGAACAATCTGGTGCTCGTCAAAAAATACAGATTCCTGGAATCTTTTCCAGATCTAATGATGCAGAATCTCCAGAGAGGGCAGGGCCTGGTAATTTGCATTTTTAGTAAGTACTGGTGCTTCTTATGCACACCAGCGTCTGAAAACTCTAGATGATTTCTAAAGTCCTTTTCAAATTTACCACTTTTTTTTTAACCACCAAATGGCTTCACAGCAGAGAAATTTCTCAGGCGTCTTTCAGAGGATTGCATATCTTTGGGAAAGACAAACAGGCTGAAGTCATCCTTAATAATGTGACACTATTACTAATACCAAACATTTACTCAGTGCTTGCATGTGTCAAGTAGGTGCCAAACACGCTACACACAAAATCCCATTTATTCATGTCACTGTCCCTTAGCCAAAGAACCACCAGGAACACCGGTTGTCAAACAAGGGGGTTTATTACTTGTTACGGCGGGGAGAGCACACCACGGGAGTCGTGGAGCGCCTCAGCACAAGGGTGTTGGGAAGACCCTGTGATAGGATTGGTGCTCTGGCTGGGTGGTTTGGGGGAGGGTCTAGAAAAGTGGAGATTTACTCCAGACAGAATGTTGTCAGGAAGCCGGGATCATTTTGTGGTTGGATGTCTCCATAAATCCACTCATGGGGAGGGGCTGGGGACAAGGATAAAGCTGCGATTGAGAAAGAAGTCACAGTAACTATTTTGGCTGAAAGGGATGTTGGGTATTTTGTGGTGCACACTGACTTTGTTTCTGCCTGTGCTCAGACGGAATTATGAGTCTCCTTATTTGGTCTCATTTCATCTTCATCATGATCTCAGAGTAATCTCGTCTGACATTGGTGTTTTGTGAGATTGTTTGTCTAACAGGGAAATACCACGGCCTTGTTCTGAGGGCCAGGCCAGCTTCCAAGTATGGGAGGCTGCTCTTCCTTCCTTCCTTTCTCATTCGACATAACATGTCCTGTGAGATAAGTGCTACGACACGACTCCTGCTCTGAGAGGTGGTGTGGCTTGCCAAGTCCATGCAGTTATTATGTGGACGTTCTGAGTCCACGGGGCTTTACTGCCTCCCCCTGCCCTGGAGAAGGGAAGCAATCTATAATGCAGTTTACTTCTCTGTTTCGGACCCAATGACCATAGAAACCTTTCCCTTGGCTCTCACAGAAATTGTCTACCAGGAGCTGATCTCCAGAACACCCACCAGAGGGAAGGTAACAGCTATGCCTTAAAGCACGGGGTCAAAACTAGCAAAATCAGAATGCGCACTTGTGTCCTGCACTGGACTGGCAACTTGTGGAAAGAAAAAAATGTCGGGCCAGCCCCAGTGGCCTAGAGGTTAAGTTGAGCGTGCTCTGCTTCTGTGGCCCAGGCTTGGCTTCTGGGCATGGACCTACACTGCTCTGTTAGGAGCCATGCTGTGCTGGCAGCCCTCATACTAAAAAATAGAGGAAGATTAGCACAGATGTCAGCTCAGGGTGAATCTTCCTCAGCAAAAAAAGAAGAAAGAAAGAAAGAAAAAAATGTTGAGTTAGAGTGGTCTCTGCTGTCACTGCTCTTTGCACGGCCTCTCTGGAGGTCCAGGACACTCCTCTGAGGTGTAGGTTTCTCCTGGAAAATGCACAGGGCACAACTGAATCATGTGTGTAGAGACATGAATTTAAGGTCAAAAGTTCGGACTGAATTGCTGATAAATTTAGAAAACACTAAGAATCCAAATGAAAGCAACGCTCGGGACCCATTGAGGATGCATACAGAACAGCGTTAGAATGTACCAGAAAGTGAGGGCAAATCTACAGGCATTTCCACTGAATGCAGCACGTAAAAGGGATCCATAAAATCCCCTTACTCACCCGGGGCCCCTTTTGTGCTGTTCTTGCCAACGCAGCAGCCGTCCTGCTACATAGACCGGCTGCCACTCTTGTCCCCGCAGTCTGGACTCTGGTCATCGCTGTCAACAGCCATGGGGAAGGTGAGCCGAGCAGGGCCACGCCGTGTCTGCTGAGCGTCTGCCGTGGGGGTCCTCCCGGCTGACGTGCTGCCGCCTCTCGTTCTCCCCGCAGATCACCTTCTTCGAGGACCGCGGCTTCCAGGGCCGCCGCTACGAGTGCACCAGCGACCAGCCCACCCTGCAGCCCCACCTGAGCCGCTGCAACTCGGTGCGCGTGGACAGCGGCTGCTGGATGCTCTACGAGCGCCCCCACTACCAGGGCCACCAGTACTTGGTGCGGCGCGGCGACTACCCAGACTCCCAGCACTGGATGGGCCTCGGAGACGCGGTGGGCTCCTGCCGCCTCATCCCCCAGGTAGGTTCGGCCTGATGACGTCAGTCACGCCGCCTGAGTGTCCTCACTGCGTGTTGAGACGGCTTGGGGTGCGGGAGCTTTTCCTTTAAAAACACCTAAAGCTCACCCGGGCTTTAGATTCCTGCCTAAGCCCAGGAAGACCCACACACAAAGACAGCAGAGAAGTAAGGAAGAACTCGCTTCTGCGAAGAGTCAGTTTTATTTTTAATTTTTGCTACCATTAGGTCAAACAGAAGTTGTCCTTAACAAACGTAACATCTTAGTGGGATGTGAAACAAAACTTGCAGAGAGGAAGCTTCTTGGGCATAAGAAGGCCGTATTTCTAACAAATTAATTTTTACCTACAGTAAAGGAGTTGATAGTGAGTGCATTAGACAGGTCCCACCACAGACTAGTGAAAACAGAACACTGTTGTTAATATAGACTATGCAAAGGTGGTGTCCAACTTTGGAAAAGACAATGTTCCTTAATTTGGAAAATCAGTTGAGTTCTGATTCCAAGTGACTATTTAAACCAATTTTTCACTGAAGTATGTGACTTTTAAAATCCTCCCTTAGTGATAAGTTTATATGGATATAAATTTGGGAGACAATACTCATATTAAAAAATACTGGTCAAAATATAGGTTTGAGTTAACACAGAGAATTAGGAATCCAGATATTTGAGTTCCTGATGGATTCTAACCCAGACTTTGAACCTCTTAAAAACTGCATCTCCTAGATAAGAAATAGAAAGCGAGTGTGCAAATATCTGTGAAGTGCTAGCAGAAGGCAGGCCTGTGCACAGCACCCACAGCAATCCCGTCTCAGTCTGTTCACTGACAGTCCCCAGCCCCAGCCCACCAAGCTCATCTGTTGTGGGCTTGCTTCTCCCTTCTCTCTGTGGACCCGGCAGACTGGCGCCCACAGGCTGCGGCTGTACGAGAGAGAAGACCACAAGGGCCTCATGAAGGAGCTGAGCGAGGACTGCTCCAGCATCCAGGACCGCTTCCACCTGGCTGAGGTCCGCTCCCTCCACGTGCTGGAGGGCTACTGGGTCCTCTACGAGATGCCCAGCTACCGAGGGCAGCAGTACCTGCTGAGGCCGGGCGAGTACAGGCACTACCAGGACTGGGGGGCCGTGGACGCTAAGGCAGGATCTTTGCGGAGGGTGGTGGATTTGTACTGAAATAGGTCCACATTCCCATTTTCCCCATTTGAAGCCTAATAAAGTATTTAGTCTGCATTACTGGCAATTGCTGGCTTCTGTTTTTCTTCCGTGTGTGCCCGTTAATTCCCCTGTCACGGGTCCCAGAGAATAAATGGATCTATTCTAGAAGAGCTTCAAGGCGCAGGAGTCTTGAACGAGGGTCAGAAGTGAGGTGGAGGGAGGAGCCAGCCTGTCTGAGACAGAGAGGCAAGTCAGGGCCAGAGCAACGGGAGGGCTAACTGGTGAGAAGGGGGCCTTCAGCCGAGGGCCTCAAGGAACAACATTCTGGAGTTTTCTTCTGACCCCAGAGGCGGTTGGAGACCAGGGCGTCACAGATTAGTAGTAAAGGGAAGACCACTCAGCAAAAAGCCTGATTAGATGAAATAGGGAATCGTGGCTCTGTTCACCCTCAAGCACAGTGTTATATAACCCAGGCCAGGGCTGCCCTTGCCCGTTGCCTGCCCTGGGACTCAGTGAGAGGCCCTCCTTCCTGTTCTCACGGCTCCTGACCCGTACAGCCTCCGGGCCGGTACAGCCCCTGGGCTAAACACCGCGTGAAGGGCAGAAACTGCACAGCTGTACCCGGCGCCGGGCTAATGCAAGTAAATTAATGAGAGGTACACGTGGTATAGTGCACCACGAACACAGGAAGGCCTTAAGTGCAGAACAGCAGGCTCTGACTAAAAGGCACGTTGAAGAAACCCACAGCTCTTAGACGCCTTTGACTGAACTAGAATCTGCTTGCTCACAAGCAAAGCCCTGCATGTGAAAAAAAAAATGAAAATCTTTTCATCAATAGAGAATTAATTCATTTTTAGCTTGAAAATTTTCTAACTACTTTACAAATTCTATAAAGAGAGAAGCGGGGTCCTCAGACCCCACTCGTCACTGCTAACCCCCGCTTACCCTGAAGCTGCCTCCTCAAGCTCTCCCTCGTGTATAAAGACGTCCCATGAAACATAGCCTTGTCTTCTTTACAAAAATGGAACCATGCTGTACATTTTAGTCTGCAACTTGGTTTTTTTTTCAGTCTTATGGAATAGGTTTAAAGTTTGATAGGAAATGAAATTTTAGAGAACCTCATTGGGCATATTATGGTACACAGAGTCGCAACACCTCCTGCGGTTCAATAAATCTGTGATGTTTGCTGTGCTGGAGTTTTGGTTGTAGAAAACCTCAGGACCCAGGGGATCGCATCCACGGGATGAAGTTCAAATGAAAGGCTATTCTGTCTTAGTGATGTTACCTTAACACAATTAAACCCAGGTAAATTTACTCATGGTCGGTCCATTTACCCTACTAGAGGGCTTACAAATCCACAGCAGGAGCCCACTTTTCTAAATCATAATTTCTATTAAAACTAACTTGAGTAGATCACGAATTAGAATGCCAAAAACATAAATTCTTGACATAAAGCATGTGGGTCTAAAAGCGTTTCAGCACTTCCATGGGAACCTTTGGGACTGTGTTTCTAAGTTTGGGGGATACATATGTATTCCCCTCTGTTGCTGTTACTAAGGTTTGAAAATTTTGAGACGCTCTTTCTTATAGGTCTGTTTATCTGTATTGAGTGTTTTCCCAGTTTCATTGGGAAAGAATCGACATACATCTCTGTGTAAGTTTAAGATGTACAGCATGATGGTTTTATTCGCATGTGACATGATATGGACCTACATCTAGGTTGGTGCCATAATTTTTGGCAATGACTAAAGTTAGGTTTTCTCTCCATCTCAGTAGAATGAGGCTTAGATTCATAAAATATTTTGAGTCATAGAAAATAAGGAAAGCGATAGTTCTTACATACTTCATTTTGTAGACTGGCCTTTATACCAGCTACACAAATCATTGACACTGCGTGCAGCAAAATCCGAATCTGAATTAGTCTCTTTTTCCTTCCCTTTTGTTTGAAACCAACTGAATAATTAGGGAGCAACAAAGGGTCACTTTCTGGACTAGAACAGGAGAACAACTAGAACTCAGCCCGATCCTGAGCCGTCCTCCCTCCAAAGACGGCCCCCACCGGTCATTCCAGGCAGCTAGTGTCACTCTCTGCTTCTGCGCCCAGGTGCAAGGATCTCAGGTCCTAACTTAGGTTCCTAGCACACTAAGTACAATTAGGTCTGACACACATTTGTCACTCCCTCAATTTTCTGTAGAGCATTGAAATCAAGCCACATTTTGGGCCAAGCCATTTACTTTTCAGCTCTATGAGAAGTGTGGGGTTTTTCCATGATTCTTCCTCTAGCTTGAAATAAATCCTCTCTTCCTAGGTAGTGAGAGAAGCGAGCCCCAAGTCCTCTTGTTTGGGTCCTCCAGATGGACCCTGAATTTCAGCTGTCACTGCATGTGGCTGAGGTGGCGCCACACAGACATTCCCACCACGTTCCTCCACATGCTCGCTAGGACTCTGCATCCCGGTGCTTACTCATAGGTTACTGTTTTCACCCATCTCTCCCCACAGAAACAACTCTGAGCAAAACGATGCTTTTTTAAATTTATTTTTTGTTCTTTAAATTTTTGATTAAAATGATGATTTTTATTCTTTAAATTGTATCTGCTTATTTCCACTATGTAAACGTGACTTTGCAAACACCTCCTTTACAAAGTGGGTAACAGGAACTGAAAGCATCATATTGTACGCAGTTGGTGTTTAATTCATACACATCAACTTACAAAGATTTATGACCCAAAGTCATGCCAAAGTATTTCCACAAGTCAACACAGGACTGTGGAGATTCTTTGAACATGAGAGAGGCTGATGGCACAGGTCATCTTCCTCTCCAGTGCTCCTTCCAGTCCATCACACTGTGCTCTTCCAGGCCGATGAACACTCTCCAAAGTCTTCCTGGAGTCCCAGCGTCTGGACATCTGTTCCCTCCTCTCTCTGCGCCATTCCAGCCCTGTGCATGCAATTAATTTTCTCCGAGTCAAAAGCTCCGTGTACTCTTGTTCCCTGGAGAACAAAAGTCTCTCTAGATCCTACCAGAAATGTATTTCTTAGGAATTCGGCTTTATTTATGATAACCTAAGAGGTAACCTATTTTTGTGTTTTTAAAGTATTACTTTTTCTTATTTCCTTAAACTTAGAAACTTCCCTTTTAGTTCTTCTTTCTGAGATTAAGCATCTTAAAACTATCCCCCCTTTTGAATCACAATTAGCCCAGATAAACTTCTAGGCATGACTGCCACAAAATCGGACCAAATACTGTGTTTGCTCTGTGTTTTTTTTATACTGAAAGTTTGAAATTCTGTAAAATCACTTGGTAAAATATTCCATATAGCTTTTATGAGAAAGTTCTCTCGAAGGACTAATTTGAAATTTTCAACATTTAGTTAAGGTCATTTCATTCTTATTAACAATTAGTAATCAACACTGTGGCGTGTAAATAATATCATAGCCATTACAGATGGAATTTATATTTTACCATATTATTCTATGCCTATTTTGCTCCCCCAACTTAAACACTTTCTGTTTCTTCCCAACCTGTACAAATAAGAGTGTGGACTACAAATGAAACGGGTGAAGCTCCTCTTCTGTTATTAAGTAGACAATGTCCCACGTGACTTTTTTTTCAAACAGTCTCCATGGCATCAGCCAGTGACAGCAGCCGGAATACTCCAGAGGGGATGCGACCCGTGGGCTCTGACAGCAGAGAAGGGAGAGGAAACCCTCCTCACCCGGCCCTTTGTTCGGCTCCTGCCAACACAGCAGTATCCTGCTCCAGCGAACCCGCCCAATGCTGGGAGGGGGCGTGGCCACAGCGAGGGGAGAAGAGCAGTGTACCCCCACCCACCGCCCCCCGCCCCCCCTCACCCCCCCCTGCTTAGGGCTGGGACGTGTCCACCGCATGGGGAGGGGACCTTGTCCACCACTCCCCTCCCCCCACCCCGAGGAGGGAAGCCCTGTCCACCGCCCCAGGAGGAGGAGCCTCTTGCATGGGGGGCTGCTGGCTGGCCTCTGAGCCTGTCCTTGCCTCCTGCAGATCACCTTCTTCGAGGACCGGAGCTTCCAGGGTCGTGGCTGCGAGTGCACCAGCGACCAGCCCAGCCTGCAGCCCCACCTGAGCCGCTGCAACTCCGTGCGCGTGGACAGCGGCCCCCACTACCAGGGCCACCAGTAGGGCCACTTGTTGCAGCACGGCCACCACCCCGGCTATCAGCACTCCATCTGCTCCTGGTGTCCCTGGTCCTGCTGTGCCCTCTGGTCTCATCCAGGCTCCAGATGTAGTATTCATGCCAGAGGACAGCAGCTTTCTTTTTTCTGGCTCTGGCTGTGTTCTCTTTTCCTTCATTAATGCAAAGCTTTTAATTGGACAATGTATTTTATTTTGGTAAAATTAACTGGCCTCCACTGGGAAGAAGTAGTGTGTGGTATTAGCTGTGTCTATGCCACAGGTGGTGAACGAGCAGAGGATTGACTCCTAACTGCCAGGCCGCCTTAGGCTGGTTCCTGGGCTGTTTCTCTCTTCATCTGTGAAATGGGACTAGCAAGAGTACCTCATTCATAGGGTTCTAAGGGGGCGAAAGGAGGGTACCTGGCACATGGCAAGCCCCCCCCCCCAATATTAACTGTTATGGTGAACCTCGGGGTCTCTCAAGTCCTGCTTTTTGATTAGGCCAAACAAGTAACCAACCATGTGGCTCCGATAGCTCCTGAAAGCGCACCCTCACCCACGAAATCCCCAGCAGCCTGGAAGTCCACAGTTAGGGATTCTCTGCTTTGACTAGGACAGAGTCCTGTGGAAAAGGTGCCACTTGTGCGGATTTTGAAACCCCCTCAGAGGGTTCAATACCCTGTTAGGACCCAGACTGGCTTTAGGAGCTTGAAACTCTAGGCTTCCACTTTCCTTCCTGACTCTTCCCATCACAGACCGAAAGCTCTAGGCATTAGTTTCTCATAAAAGAAGAAAAGCTTACAATGGTTGCTGCACGTGTGTCGGGCTGTCGTGAAGATCTGATTGCATAACAGACGTGTGAGCCCTTTACAACCATGAAGATGCCCTACGAGCTGTCTTCA